TTTGTTATCTTAAGAATTCTCCTATGTGGGGCAGCCCTGGTAGCTCAGCAGTTTAGCGCCACCTTCAGCCCAGGGCGTGATCCTGAAGACCCAGGATCTAGTCCCACGTCGGGCTTCCTGCATGGAGCCTGCTTCTCCCTCTGCCTATGCCTCTCTCTCTCTGTGTGTGTGTGTCTCTCATGAATAAATAAATAAAATCTTTAAAAAAAAAAAAGAATTCTCCTATGCTTCAAGTATATTCAAATATAAAAATGTTAAATGGGTGTAGTTTTTTACTAGGAAATGTAGTATGTGTGATATTTGAGAATATGTGTCAAAATTCAGATATTAGAATGAACTCATAAGCATTTGTTACTCTGAAGGAGATTTGACTTCAAAGTTATTGTTAAGAATAAGTAAAGGCAAAAAAAAAAAAAAAAGAATAAGTAAAGGCGGGGCACCTGGGTGGCTCAGTCACTTGGGTGTCTGCCTTTTGGCTCAGGTCATGATCCCAAAGTCCTGGTATCAAGCCATGCACTCTGCTCCCTGCTCGGCGGGGAGCCTGCTTCTCTCTTTCCTCCCCTGCTTGCTTGTGTTCTCTCTCACTATCTCTGTCTCTGTCTCTCTTGAATAAGTACAATCTTAAAAAAAAAAAAAGAATAGGTAGGGGCCATCTGGTTGGCACAGTTAGTTAAGCATCCAACCCTTGGTTTTGACTCAGGTCATGATCCCAGGGTTATGAGATTAAGCCCTGCATTGGGACTCTGCTCAGTGGGGAGTCTGATTAAGACTTTGTCTTCCTCTCCCTCTGTTCCTCCACTCTCTCTAAAATAAAGAAATAAATCTTAAAAGAAAAAAAAAATGATTAAGTATGAATTGAGTCCTTTTTTTAAAAAAAAAACTGTTTTCTGCTTAGGACATTAGCTTAGGTATATAATTTAATAATAAAGACAATGGGAATAATAGTAGTAGCAGCTAGCATTTTTAGCACTTTCTCTGGGCTAGGCACCGTGCTGTGCTAGGCATGTGGCCAGCTTCTCATTTAATACGCATGGCAAACCTCTGAGATATATATACTACTCTTATCACCGTTTTACAGACAGGAAAAGAGAAGCTGAGAGGATTTAAACAACTTGACCCAAGATAATCATGGGCAAAGAGTTAAATGTAACAGCTATCATTTCCCCTTCTGCTTGAGAATTTGACCTTCGGTTGCCTTTCCAGCTCTGTTACCCTGGTAACCTGATAAGAGTCCGAATGTCAACTATGTTTCTAGGCAACATTGCCTATGATAAAAAATGACCCCTAATTGGTTGGTAAATTGCATCTGGAACTGGGAGGAGCTATATGTGGACTCTAAAACCTGAAAGGGACAGCACACTTTGGGCTTTCCTGAGAACAGTGACTGTCATGCTTGGAGGACCCTGGAAGTGTGCCTGAGGAGTTGCCATGAGAAGTGCTACTCTTGTGGGCCATGAGGATGGCCTTTTCACTAGAGTGGCTCCCTCCACCTGCCTGACACAGATCTCATCTCCCTGCATGTGAGCTGCTGGACTTGGCACAAAGACTGCCCTCAAGGAGGAATGCTCCTGGGCCCTGTCCTGCTGGCCTGTGCCCTGCGTCCTCCTGAGTAGACTGGTGCCCTCAGTCATCTTGTGAGCCTGCATGATCAGGTGGATCTAATACAGTCTGCTTGGTGTCAGACTGATGGGTGTTGAGATCCTCCAGCCAGGAGTGGAAGAATCAAAATTGATCCTAGTCCCAAGCCTCTCTTCACCCTTCCAAGCTCAAGGAGGAGAAATAACTCTACTAAGGTCCCAGGACTGATATTTAGCAGATCCAGTTAAGGTGTGATTACAATATAGAAAGATCTGTTTGTCACAGGTAGGTCATTTTGCCCCACCTTGGTCATAGTACCCAATGTGCATGGCTCACAAGTGTCACTGGAGGGTGACTTGGTACATAGGTGGACAGGGGAGGTAGGTCATCCCTGGGGACTGTACTTCTTTAGTTTCCCCATTGCATTTTCTTCTCTGCTTTTCAAATCTCCCCACCTCCTCCAGTTCCCCCCTCCTTTTTCAAAAAGAAAAAAAAACCTTTATTTTGAACTGCTTTTAGATGAGAGGAAAGTTGCAGAAATGCTAGTGTTCCTCTATACTGTTCATCCAGGTTTCCCTGGTACTAGCGTCTTCTACAACCACAGCATAATTAGTAAAGCCGAATTAACATTGGTGTGGTACCAACACCTGACCTCTAGGCCTTGCTCCTGATGCCCTAGTTTTCCCTACCTCTGCAGGTGGGATGCTAGATGCTGATGGGATCTTAAATACTGAGCCTACAGAGAACTCCACAGCGCATGTGGTTATTTCTCCTCCAATTTGTAAAAGTCCCCCAGTCGTTCCTTGTCTTGAGTGCTGATCACCTATTTTCTAGAATGCCTCTCAATTTGTGTTTGTTATATATTTTCTGTGGTTGGACCGAGGTTGTGGATCTTTGGCAAGAATACCATAGAAATGGTGCTGTGATCTCCTCAGGGTGTTGTATCAAGGGATCCTGATTTATTTTTTAAAATGAAAACAACTCTGGGTATGTTTCAGAATCAGTTCCCTTATCTCTCTACAGTTTACATTATAGAATTCAGTGGTGACAGAAGAGGTTCCTCATTTGGAATCACAGAGCTTTGGACTAGAGAGTATCAAGCTTTGGACTATTGACTATAGTCAATGTAATGTCTCCACAATAAACTGAAAAGGTAGAAAAAAGGAATGGATTTTTCTTCTTTTTCGGGTGATACTTCAGGTAACACAAACATGATCTGAACCCTGTATTTCTTTATATATTTTTTTCAGTAGATTAAAAAGCTAAAGTATAAAAAGGTGAATGGTGAAAAGTCTTTCTCTAGTCCTTGTCCCTCATCTTTTTCGTGCTAGGAAACCGCTGATCTTAATTTTTTACATCTACTTCCAGGGCTTCTTTTTGTATATATAATCAAATACAAATATAGAATCTTATTTTCCCCTTCTTGGGGGCAATAGGTACTATATTGATTTTTCTAAAATATATTTGTTAAAGATTCTGATTAATCAAGAATATGTATTTCTTTTTCCTTTCATTGTTATTATCTCAGATTTTTTTTTAAGTATGTATTATAGCCCCCTATGAATCCCCTCTGGAATCCAGTTGTCCCCCTTTCCCTCTCCAGAGGCAACCATTACCATGAATTCAACATTTATCCCTCCCAGCTTGTAATATTTTATAAGCCTTAAAACTTTATATAAACCATAACATACTGAAAAACATCAGTCTGTAACTTTTTCATTCAATATTCTTCATTCAATGATTTTTATTTTATGGTCATAAAATTTGTATTTTAATTATCACAGGAATATGGAAGTTTGAAACGAGGTCCAGTAAGAGCTCTGCTATGTAATAATGTAATATCTGGTCCCTGGGAAGTTTAAAATAAGTCATTTTTTTTATAATTAAAAAAATCAATTAACCTAATAATTGACAAGTGAGCCACAATTTATTTTTTTAATATCCTGAAATTATTTTTGCTTTGAAAATCTAATTGTACATATTTGATCATAATTACCTGGATCTTTAAGAAAAATGTTGGGGATCCCTGGGTGGCGCAGCGGTTTGGCGCCTGCCTTTGGCCCAGGGCGCGATCCTGGAGACCCGGGATCGAATCCCACATCGAGCTCCTGGTGCATGGAGCCTGCTTCTCCCTCTGCCTGTGCCTCTGCTTCTCTCTATCTCTCTGTGACTATCCTAAGTAAATAAAAATTAAAAAAAAAATAAAAATGTTAATAAGGTTTTTCTCATTTATGAAAGCCAAAGAAGCCACTGTGGGTAATATGGAAGACAAAGAAATATATAAAATAGAAAATAAAATGTCCATATTCTACCCTACTTCAGAAATAGCTACTATATGCATTTTGACATATTTCTCTCTAGTTTTTTCTATGTATATACAAATATTTTGTTTCAAAACTAGGATTATGTCACATGAAGTTTATTATCCTTAATACTACTTCATGACCATGACCTCTTTTCAGTGACTATTCTTGGGAAATGTGACATAGTTATAGAGAAATCTTCATACAAATCCACCAGATTTTATTTAGCTGGTTCCCAAAGATCAAAGTGATTAGGAAATGGCAAATCTATGTATATTGATTACATTCAAACCATTTTTTTCCCAAAGTACACTATTCAACTTCAAACTATTTTGCCTAAGCAAATAAATCCTCAGTAATTATGTGATATGACATAGATAATGCAATCTTTGATAATATCAAAGGTCTACTTTTAATGCAGGGTTGAAATTTTGCTCCCAAAAAGCATACTTCAGAATCATAAAGTAATAGGGTACTGTTGGTTACTCAGGTTAGAGTAGAAGGTACTGTGCTAACCGAATGGTTTTCACACATGGTTTGGGTCTTTGTGGGTTTATGTTTAATAGTGAAAACCAAGTCAATATGCTTCCTCCTTATAAATAATCAAGTCCATGGGTGACCTAGAAATAGAGTTCTTGTTGCTATGTTGGTTGAGATGGCACTATGTTGATTGAAGTGGCTCCAACATGTTCTTTTTAACTGTTGCATAATGTTCCATTGTTTGAGTAAGCCGCAGTATACCTATTCTTTGTTATTTTTGCTTCCAGTTGTTTTTGGTTGTTATAAACAATGCTATAGTTCTACACTTAAAAATTAAGCCCATTGTTTCAAATGCAGATGAGCATATCTACCTGTTGAGACCTGTGGTCTAGGAAAGGGCCTGAGGGTCATGAATGTTACTCTTCTTTATACCTCACACTTACAGGGAGTCCTTATTAAGTAGATCGATAGTTGTTGGATGGATGGATGGATGGATGGATGAATGCAAAGGAAGATGGATAGATTAATTATTGAATTTCTTGGTCCTTTTGATTTGTCAAACCTTATATATCCATCTGTATAATCTCCTTGCCTATGTGGAATAACAATATATAAACTCTTAGTCTCCTTTTTTTCTAGATGTCGAAATGCTTCAGGCCAGTGCATCTAATCCAATCCCTGGAGATGGTTTCTCTCGGACCAGTAAGGACTCCATGATTCGCAAGTTTTTAGAAGGTAATTTGCAACCGTGAACAGGAAGGCAAAAAGAGGGAAAGAGAAACAAATGTAAGACATTGCCTGTTTCCATATGATGGTTACTCCATTAAAGGAATGGACTGCCACATACCTGGCAGATAGCATGATTGAAGACACTCCATCCCCGTGAGCTCCCCCATTGGCCTGTAACAGTAGGCCAGGAATTCCCACCACTGGAGCCACTCATCTGGATAACAAGCTGCCTTCGACAAGACCTGTTTTAAAATGCATATGTTTCTTTTGACTAAAATTTATTGAGTACTGACTAAGCAAAGTGCTTCTCTGGATGTTGGGCTGAAGGACACAGAGGAAAATAAGATGTGATCAGGGCCCTGGTGAAGGTGGAGAACATAGGGGAATATACACAAACATTGTTAAATTGAGCCTGTGCTGTGTCATGGTTAAGAACACAAACACTGATCTGTAGTTCCCCCTTCAGTTGGCTGGAAAACCTTGGACAAATTCTTAACTCCTCTGGGCCTCAGTGTCCTCAGGTGAATGTTGTGAGAATTAAATGAATTATTGTTCAGTGGGCCTCAGAGCAGGGCTGGGCATAGAGCAAGCAATGAAGGCTTATGATTGTTTTCATTCTTCTCATTATTATTATCATTGAAGGTCAGATAAGGAGGGTGTTAAATTGTGTGGCTAATTCCTTAACTCTGTCCAATCATTTATAATTAATGGGGGCAGGGTCTGTTGATGAAGTAGGCATAGAAAGCAGGTGCTAAGAGGATGGAATTCAGAATGGAAGAAGTAGTTCTGACAGTGAAGAGGAAAGAAAAGTTCTAAGTAGTGGTAGATAAAACATAGCCTGGCTAGCTGCCTGTTTTTGTAAATGAAGTTTTCTTGGAACATTTTGTATCCATTCATTTAGTATTGTCTATGGCTGCTTCCACACTGTAAAAGCAGAATTAAGTTCTTGTGTGCATGGGGGTAGGCACCTTGGGAATCACTGTCACTGGTAGGGTAGCCAGCTGTTTACCCAGGACACCTCATTTTGTTGACATCAGACAAGCTTCTCCAGAACTACTCATGCCCCTGTACAAGATGTTCAGAGGTAAACAGGTGGGAGCTTCTTCACTAGTTGGAAACTTTCCCAAAGGCAGAGCCTCAGAACTTAGAGCCCTGGGATGAGTTGGGGCCCCCTGGTTGGTCAGTCCTCTGGACTCAGGATACAGAGAAGCCAAGAGCAGTCTCCCTGCAGCTCAGAAAAGATGCAACTAAAAATCTTCCAATAAATCACTGGATTGGAAATCCCATAGGAAGAAGGCCCAAGCATTATTCATTCCTGTATCTCAAACAGGTATTTAATAAAGATTTGTTGACTGCTGGGGAGAAGAAAGAAGTTAGAGGAGAACACCTACTATGTGTAGGCACTGGCTGCATTTCCTTTACCATCTCATTTTGTCTTCACAATACTCCTGTGAATAGGTCTCAGAGGGAAATCAGGCTCAGAGAGGTTATATAATGTGCCCAGGGTCACCACAGTTCACGTGTATGAGGAGCAATGGCATACAAAGTCAGGTCTGCTGAGATTCTCAAAGCCAAGGGGATACAACACTCAGGTCCCGGCACAGAATATTGCAGCCTTCCACCAGGAAGGAGGCAGTGAAAACCTTATGGCTGTGGGACTCCAAGGACAGACAAGGAGTTGATATGCTTCTGTCCTAAATCTTTCTCGTTGATGGAGAGCAGAGTGTGGGCAAGGTTGCAAAAGAGTAGTAGAGCATGGAGGTTAATAGCACAAATTCTGGAGTCAGCTTTCCTGGATGCCAGTCTGGCTCTAAGTAACTTTGGGCAAGTTATTTAAATCCCAAAGGGCCCAGTTTCTTCATTTGCAAAATGAGAATAATGATTGTAGTTATTCCACAATGTCATTATATAATCAAAGGAGGTAACTCAGGTAATATGCTTGGAATAGCACTTGTAACAAAGTCATTTTGATGCTGAAGATGAGGATGCTGGAACCTTTGGTGAGGTCTCTGGCCACCCTCACGCTGCTGCCTGGGAACCTGGGGGTGGTTCCAAGTGTCCTTTGTCTTTGGGGGCTATACTCTCTTTTCTATAGTTCCACTGGGATGAATAACTGAATCCTAGCAATACAACTAAGATGAGCCTAGTGCTCATTCCCTTTTGCTGCATTGATGGGCAGGCAAATGAAGGTTGCATCAGTGTTTTCTCAGTTGCTTCGCATGGGGTTCTCAGTAGATCATACAGGGGACAATATAGGAGAAGATCTTTGCCAAAAGACAGTACTGTACAAATAAGTTATGGTCCACTCTCTCTGCTCTTATGACTGTCAGTCACCGAGTTTGTTTAGCCACTGCTTTCAGGCACTTGTCTCTGTGTTTCTAGGTAACAGCATGGGAATGGCCAGTTTGGAGAGGGAGCTGCACCACAGTGGTCAGGAGGAAGATGTGTATCACACGGTGGATGATGATGAGGCCTTTCCTGTGGACCTGGCCAACAGGCCCCCCGTCCCAGTGCCCAGGCCAGAGGCCAATGCTTCTGGTACTCATCACCTGTCTGACAATGAACCATACATTTCTAAAGGCAAGTATGGCAGGGAGTGATGCTCAGCGAGGTCTTCAGGATTCTCAGCCAGAAGTCCCTGGATTCTCTTAACTTCTGAACCATTGTTCAGAGACTATCCCCTTCTGAATGGTCTCTAACCAGCCCCAGGAGATGGTGTTAGAGCTCAGGGCAGATTTTGGAGCTGGCTCACAGGCCATGATCAGAATTCAGTTCTGGCTTTCCTGGATGCTTTCATGCGCATTCTGAAGACAGGGAGGTAAACAAGGTTTACCTCTACTCCAGATGGCAAAAACCCTCATAAAATTTTATCTCCTTAAACTATGGTTATTATTGATTTTTTGATAGCTAACATTTATTGAAATCTACCAAGAGTACTCTATTTGGAACGTGTCATTTAATATTTACATTAATGTTTTAGGTAAGGGCTGTTATCCTCCCCAATGTACAGATGAAGAAAACCGAGACTTACAGAGGTCACTATTACCACGTAGCAGAGTCAGGATTTGAACTCAGGGTGCCCAACTCCACAGTCCCAGCTTTCTACCACTATGTTAGGATGTCTGCCTACCTACACTAATACAAATTGGTAGGGGATCCCTTGGTGGTGCAGCGGTTTAGCGCCTGCCTTTGGCCCAGGGCGCGATCCTGGAGACCCGGGATCGAATCCCACGTCGGGCTCCCGGTGCATGGAGCCTGCTTCTCCCTCTGCCTGTGTCTCTGCCTCTCTCTCTCTCTCTCTCTGTGACTATCATAAAAAAAAAAATTGGCGAGAGTTGGGTTTGACTTCTTCACAGTGATCCCTGGAAAATCAAGTAGATACTGATGCATTGTCAATTTCGCTTTTTTAGGACTTGATTGTATTAATAGGATTCCAAGTACTGTAAGAGCTAAGAATTGCCAGATCTGTGCATCTGACCTCCATTCCATTTTTAATAGTATAAGAAGGTGTGGAAGGTATGACAAAAGGAGATCACAAATTGGGGAAGGTAGCCCTCAACCAGAATCCCAGGTACAGGGTGACCAGTTAAATATGAATTTCAGACCAATGGCAAGTAATTTCTGTTCCAAATACTGCATTTTAAAAAAAGATTTTATTTATTTATCCATGAGGGACATACAGAGAGAGAGAGGCAGAGCCACAGGCAGAGGGAGAAGCAGGCTCCTTGCAGGGAGCCCGATGTGGGACTTAATCCTGGAACTCCAGGATCACGCCCTGGACCGAAGGCAGGCACCAAATCGCTGAGCCGCCCAGGGATCCCTGCATTTTTTTTTTTTTTTTACAATTTTGGTTTTGGTTTGTTAAACCTGGCAATCCTAAACTGGGTAGAAATACAGTTGAGGGACATTTTGTAGCCAGGTGTTCTCGGTGATTGCAGTTTGCCATTCCCTTGGGTAACATCTCCTTTGGCATGTGCAGCAGACACTATTGGTGCTCTCCCCACATCCCCCTAGCTCTTTATATTTCTGTGCCTCCTGGTTGGATTATGCCTATCAGGACACATGTGTCTTAGTCTGACTGCTTTCTCTGGTAGCTGGAGCCCCATCTGCCTTAGCAAGTCAGGCTGGAAGAGTTGAGGGGATTAACACCCCTGAGCCCTGGAATCTAGTGACTGATAGATTGGTGGCTGAGTACCCCAGCATCCTTGCCCTTCTGCTGGGAGAACTCTGAGGTGTGTGTTCTACATTGCTTTCCAGAGTTCCCTAGCTTGCCCACCCTGGTAACTTACTGGATACCCACCCTGTATTGTTTTATCCACTTCCCTGTCTCACTTCCATCACTCCCCACATCGACTCTTTGCACCTGGATCCTTGTCCTCAGGTCTGCTTCTAAGTGAACCCAAAAGAAGAAGCATGTGAATATATATTGATAATTCCTAAACGGTATGAGGGGAGGAGAGAGTGTTACTGGCATGGAGCATTGTGGGAGCTGGGACAGGGGCACAGGTGATTCTTAATGCTCCCTGAAGGACTTGGCTAGGCAGCTAGGGAAGCAAAGGAAAGAGAGGTAGTGGTTGGAGGCCAGAACCCCTGGGTTTGTGCCCCTGCCTTTGTATTTCCCAGCCGTACAGCCTGGGACATGAACATGAGGTCAGTTATTTCGTACTCTAGCTTTCCTTTCCTCATCTGTAAAATGGGTACAATAGTGATACATGTAGACATCTATGCATCTATCATAATCCTACCTCATATACTCGGTCAGAGCCTGATTGTGAGGATCAGATGGGAGGATACATTTATAAACTGTAGAGCACCACGCAGGTATTGCTCATGTTAACTAGCATGCCAAAGTACTACTGTGCTATTGGCATCCATCTCAAGGTTTGGCTAACATTGAGAGCTTGTTTGTGCCAGATACTATTCCAAACACTTTTCTACATATTAACTCATGTAATCATCACAACAACCATTGAGGAAGGTGCTGTTATCATCACCATTCTATAGATAAGAAAACTGAGACAAAGACAGGCCAAGCCTCTTATCCAAGATCACATGGTGCTTAAGTGGCAAAGCCAGGATATGAATCCAGGGAGCCTTAATCACTACGCTTTCCTACCACCAAGGGAGCATTTGTCATGTCTCCATTTTTCTTTTTAGCTTTTGTGGGTCTGTTGCTCACTGACTGACTTCATCTAAGTCCCTATAGAGCCGTGCACACATTCTATCTGCTCCACTGCTCCGTGTTTTGTCTTGTTGACATGTTAAGTGGCACTTCCTTTTATTCTCAAGCTTCGGGGTGTTCCATAGCCAGTTTAGGGTATTCCAGGGTCCAACTCGCATCCTCGTTCACATTACTCTTTTCTTTAATGATTCATCATGTCCTCTGGCTGGCTTTGGCTTTCTGGCTTTGAGACCTAGTCTGTTTGGGGTGTTTTTCTTCCATGATCCCTCTAGCTTTGGCACCTTAGTTGCCTCCTACTGGAGTTTTGATTTACAGACCTGAATATGGTGGTCCAAAATGTGATCCATCATTTCCATTTTTTTTTTTTATTTTAAAAAAAATTTTTTTTTTTTATTTATTTATGATAGTCACAGAGAGAGAGAGAGAGGCAGAGACACAGGCAGAGGGAGAAGCAGGCTCCATGCACCGGGAGCCCGATGTGGGATTCGATCCCGGGTCTCCAGGATCGCGCCCTGGGCCAAAGGCAGGCGCCAAACCGCTGCGCCACCCAGGGATCCCCATTTCCATTTTTATATACAATTTTGGCAATTTTTTCAGTAAATATATAAAACATTATAAAGCCCTTTAGAAAGAAGTCTGATTTGGCTTTTACCTATAATATTCTTTATCTCATAGTTTTTGCAGAAAAAAGTCAAGAGCGGCCTGGGAATTTTTATGTTTCCTCAGAGAGCATCAGGAAAAAAGGTAAGCCACACATCCTCAGCTTTATTTTGTTTGACCTGAACTTCTGGGTGGTAGAAGTGTTCATGCTTCAGTGATTTTCATGATTTTCTTTCTATCTTTTTAAATATTTTATTTATTTATTTGAGAGACAGAGAGACACAGTGCATGCATGAATCGGGGGTTGGGCAGGGGGAGAAGCAGACTCCTTACAGAACAGGGAGCCAGCTGTGGGACTCAACCCCGAGACTCCAGGATCATGACCTGAGCCAAAGGCAGACGCTTAACCAACTGAGCCATCCAGGCGCCCCTGCTTCAGTGATTTTCCGGTGTAACAACCCCTTAGCATTGAAATACAGAGAGATCCAGGGGATACCATAGGTGGTGCTGTAATGATGGTAAAGGCGGAGGAGAAGAGATTGGGGTGCCCTAGAATAGTGTACAAATTAATCATACTGAGAATGTGAACACACTAGAATGTGTCTGTGAGAGCACACAAATGCACAGTGTAAATAGTGAAATTGGTGCCAACAGGATGAAAGTGGGCAGCCTGGCACCAAGGCTTTACCTAAGGATACAGCCCTATCTTGCTATTTACCTACCCTATCTGTACCAGCTAAACTACACTTTCATTCAGCTTTTATTTAAGAGACATTTTGCTTGCATTTTTCTTTTTTTTCCTCCTCAAAAGACTTTTTGAGGAAGTATGAGGCGATAAGTACTCCTTTTTTCTTGGTCAACTTCCTTGTATTAAACAGAGGCATTCAGTATTATTCTGTTGATTCTTTCGAAAAGGAGAAATGACACCATCTAAGCTTTTTGAAGGACTTAGGTTGTAAGAGTGGAATTGATTGGCTTAATGCATTTTGTTTTCTCCCCACACCCCATCTTCCAGCACAATTAAAGACAGCCTTGAGGAGGGCAAACCTGGGAGAAAGGTTTGTGGGTGTGTATAGACAGATGAGTGAGTGGTTGGGAAGAATGACAGATGAACTTCTTTGAAGTCATCTCTCTTTTTCCTTCTTGCTCTCCCCCTGAATCACAATGTCCAGATGGGGTCCTGCTAGAGAAATTTAGAGTTAAAGATAGTCCTATATGAAATGAGCAATAAAATGTTGAGTTGTCCTCATAAGCCCCGGTGGCCCCATCACATCTGCAAGTAGCTCATTCTTCACAGAACCTAGTGGAGTCACAGCCTGGAGAAAGAGGGGTTGCCTTCATATTTCCTTAGAATCTCCAAAGCAGAGAACCATGAATTTGTAGTGTGGAGGAAAGGTTGGCAGAGGAACAACCCAAGGAGAGCTACTTGGGACATAGCACCTAATTTATACCTGGTGACATTGGAGATAGATCATGGTTCCATTGGCATCCCAGTCTTCTCAAGCATTTCATGTCCATGGGTCCATAGTCATTGTGCCCATGCTGCTCGGAGGCAGGGAGGATAGTGAGGGCTGGAGTATGTTGGGAAAAGCATCCTACTTAGAATTTCCTGTATATTCTTTCCTGGGAGTAGATTTTAATCTAAAGCAGTAGTTCTTAGTTGGAGGTGATTTCTCCTCTCCCTTCATTGCCTCCCAGAGGATACTTGGCAACGTCTGGAATGTTTTTGGATGCTGCAGCTGAGGTAGGGGATGCTGTTGGCATCTAGTGGGTAGAGGCCAGGGATGAGGCGACACATCCTACAGTATACAAGATAGCCCTCCAACAACAGAGAACTCTCCAGTCCAAGGTGTCAATAGTGTCTAAGTTGAGAAATGCTAGTCTCATGGCTTCTCAATAATTCAGGTTTGGGGGATTCTGTTAACTTGTTCAGTGGATGCTGTTCATGCCTCCTAAAATGTTGTGGCCTTGTCTACTTTAATGTAACAAGCTTTGAAATGATTCGCTGCTTCCCTCTCTGTTGATGTCATACGTCCCCATTCTCAGTTCTGCATGTAATTGTTCTTTTGAGGCATGTTCTCTTGAATCCATGACCAGCCTCATTAACCCCCCTCGTCTGCCTGCCCTCCCCAGTTGGGGTGCTGTCACACTGAGTTTTGCCATCCTTTCCAGAGCCTCTCGTCAGACCTTGGAGGGACAGGCCCCAGTCGAGTATATATGACCCTTTCGCTGGAATGAAAACGCCTGGCCAGCGGCAGCTGATTACCCTCCAGGAGCAGGTGAAGTTGGGCATCGTCAACGTAGACGAGGCTGTGCTCCACTTCAAAGAGTGGCAGCTCAACCAGAAGAAGCGGTCTGAGTCCTTTCGCTTCCAGCAGGTAACCAGCTCTGTATGGTTTGTTTCATGTCCATTTCTGCACTGGGCAGAGTGGAGGGCTGGGTCCGTGCTAGCTTGTGTGCTGCTGTAGCTGAGTGCGTATGGCCAGCCTGTGACTGGGTTTTGAGTGTCATTGTGAACCAATGTGTGTGTCTGTCACCTGTAGTCTGTAACCAACCATACAGACCCTGGCTGAGAGCAGGATGGCTATGCTGGCTGTTGTGAGGCTAGAGATCAGGAACAAAGACTCAACTGTCAACCCTGATTTTTCCACTGCCACTTCCCTCTGCATGTGGCCCTATACTTTTGCTTCCCAGCTTTTTTCTTTTCAGAGCCATTCTCTCTAATCCTCGTGCCAACACTCCCACAGAACTATCACACCTTTGAACTCACAGGACTTGGATTGTTCCCAAGAAATATGATTAACACAGCAGAACAAGTCACAGACATAAAACCACCCAAGTTAGAGCATAACTCTCACACAAACTGCATTTCTATAGGCATGAATACAGACACAGAGGCAAAGGTCAGGAGAGGCCGCCTTATGGCCATCCCAAGGGTGGCCACTCAGAAGACTGGCATGGGCAGATGGTACTCCTAGAGGAGACTCTTGTTTTGTATTGTTTTAAGATTTTATTTATTTATTCATGAGAGACACACAAAGAGAGGTAGAGACATGGGCAGAAGGAGAAGCAGGCTCCCTGTGGGGAGCCTAATGCAGGACTCGATCCCAGGACCCTGGGATCACGCCTTGAGCCAAAGACAGACACTCAAACACTGAGCCACCCAGGCATCCTTTGTTTTGTTTTAAAGATTTTTATTTATTTGAGAGAGAGAGAGAGAGAGCATGACCTGTGGGAGGGACAAAGGCAGAGGGAGAAGCAGGCTCCACTGAGCAGGGAGCCTGACATGAGGCTCCATCCCAGGACCCTGGGACCACGACCTGAGCTGAAGGCAGACACTTAACTGACTGAACCACCTGAGCACCCAAGACTCCTGTTATTTTTGTAAGAATCTATAACTCCATACGTGTAATTTAAAGCAACCCAAAGAACTCAAACTTGACCTTAGGAAGTGTATTCCTGGTCCAACTTCTTTATATTAGAAAGAAGTTGTGCCTAGGGTATTAGGAGATGTGCCTAAGACCACTTATCTAGTAAGTGGAAAGAAAGGCAGGACCAGATGGTTGCTTTTTTCTCTCCACTTCCCCATGGTATTTCCTAGAAGGTATGTATTCTAACCTCTGCTCTCAGAGGACCTGGCATACCTGCTGTTGAGGGTAGAGGCAGCGGGAGCAGCACCTACCTACCGCTGAGATGGGAATCTTGTCTCCCTAGAGTGGGAATAGGTGTGACAAGTGGGGAAGTGAGTCATCAGGCACCATTTGTCCAGCTGGGCCCGCAGTCTACTGACAATGCCCTGCATTGAATGGACCTGATCTCTTCTGCTGCTCACAGCAGGCATGCAAGACAAGTACCCTTGTTACCATTTTACAGAAAAATGAGGCTTGGAGAGAGGTAGAGAGGCAGAGTTAGGATTCAGATGAGCCCTTTCTCACGCCAGAGCCTGTGCTCCCTTCACGACCCTTTCTGCCTTCTTAGTGCTTTCTAAAATGGTCCCCCACTCTGCCGGCCCGCCTCCTCCCTCCTGGGGATCATCTGATGGGTGGGATGGCACTCTGTAGGGTCCTCCTCATTCAGGAGATGCAGGGAAGCTGCAGTCCTGCTGGGACAGCCTGATTCTGGGCAAACAACAGTTTTGTTTCTCCTAGCCAGGTCACACGCCCACGTAGCATGGTAGTGAAGAGAGCCAGGGCTCCGGGCAGGCAGCCCGAGTTACATCCTTGTTCTGTCACTTGGGGCTGGATGACCTGGGCCTCCCTGTCTGTCTGTGTCCCATCTCAAGTGTGAAGGGAGAACACTGGACAGTGTCAACCCTGTAAAGGACTTGGCATGCCTGGCACCTGGTAAACGTATAACAAATGTCAGCTGTCGATCTCTATCTGTATCCAAGAGGCTTCTCCTGTCCAGAACTCTTGGGTATGGCAGACAAATGGGGTTCATATTTGACAGGGAAGAGAATTCCAGCCTAGGAGAGCTGATGCCACTATGTGCCCGGAGAGCCTCTTGGCATTTCTAGAGCATCCCCCACCCAGAGACCAGTGGGTGTGAAGACTGTTCCCTAGGCTGCCCTATCTTCCCTTTGCTCCATGCCTCTGTCCACTTCCCTGCCTCTTTTACCTCCCCTCCTGTGAATGGGCACCACCCAGGCTCCCTTCAGGTCCTCTGGGCAGGTGACTTTTTTTTTTTTAAGATTTTATTTATTTATTTGACAGAGAACAAGCAGGGGGAGTGGCAGGCAGAGGTAGAGGGAGAAGCAGACTCCCCACTGAATAGGGAGCCCCACATGGGGCTCAATCCCAGGACCCTGAACCAAAGGCAGATGCTTAACAGACTGAGCCACCCAGGCGCCCAAGGGTGCAGGTGACTCTTGAGTCCATGTTCACTTTCCCATTCCACCTTTGCAGCCACCAGCTAGGTGTGTCCTGCTGAGGTGCCCACGACCCCCAGCAAGTTCAGCAACAATCCATATCTAGAGGCTGCTTCCCTTTCCCGGCTCCCTATTTCTATACACTGTTATCTTCTAGACACCGAGGTTCAGACTTTACCTCCCTTGGGCTCTTCTCCTCATACCCCTGTATCCAGTCAGCTGCTGTCTTGCCTGGTCCTGGTCTGTGACACTCTTCCTCTTGCATCTGCTCCTTCCTTTCCATTGCCCCAATGCCAACTTCTGTGCCTCTCATCTGGCCTCCCACAAAGTCTCTAGGTAGATCTCTTTGCTGCCAGCTCCTGTCGCCTCCACACTGTCAGACTTGAAAGCTATGCCTGGCCCACGCCTTCCAGTGTTTCCCTGCTTCATCCTGGACCCAGCTCAGCCTCAGTTCTAGTCATGGCTCAGACACCCCTCCCAGTCTGGCCTCCCATGGCTCTCTCATGGGACCCTTCTGGTTGTCTAGACCTTAGTCCCTGGGGCATTTTCTCTAGGATGTTCAAACACTTTGAGGTAGTTGTTACTGACTAAAATAGGAACAAATTTCAACATTTGTTGAATGACTGTAATAGGCCCAACTGCACGGTTTCAGAAAAGTAGAAGGCCTGCTGTGTTGCCTCTTGAGAGTGCACAGTCTCTCTGGAGAGACAAGACACATACACCCAAAGCCACACAGCTGCACAGATGCACTGGGCAAGGCTGCATAGCTCATGCCAGATGGCAGGTGTAGTCATTAAGGACTGGAGCAGGCTGGAGAGGTTTAAGAGGGAAGTTGGATCTGGACCCAGACCTGGAACAGACTCACGGAGAGGAATCGTTGCCTCTCACGGTTGGAAGAATGGTATGAAAACACAGTCTCAGAGGCAGATCTGTCCATGGAGTGTGTGTGAGCATGGAAGGGACTGGCTTGGCTAAAGGAGTCTACAAGGAGGAGGGTGGTGGTGCCAAGGCTGGGAAGAGCGTGGAGCTAGGAGCCAGAGAGGAGGGGAGACTCTTCTCTTCAGGTACAACTTCTAAGAGTACTTGAATGTCTCTGGGGACTGATTGTGAATGCATTCAGCCTCATTTGCATGCTGGAGATGTTATTACAATGACATGTATCTTGCAAACAGCATAAAATCAGGAAGAAACTCTATTGTCCAGAGGGTATATTTCTGGTATATACTTTTAAAATTAACTAAATTTTTTTCCAGGAAAATCTTAAACGGCTAAGAGACAGCATTACCCGAAGACAGAGAGAGAAGCAAAAATCAGGAAAGCAGGCAGGTATGTAGCTTCTTGGGGGTGCTGCATTGTGGGGGACTGCCATGATTTGTTGTCCCTAACTCTTCTTTCTGCAGTGGCCTGAGTGGGCAGAGTGCTTGCCTGGTGCCTGTCACCCTGTTTACAGATCTGAGTACCCCACTGTACTATGATGTTCTTTTGGGCAATGGCTTTGTCTTGTCTATTTTTTTTTTTTTTTTGAGAGAGACAGCATATGCAGGGGGTGGGGGGCCCAAGAAGGAGAGGGAGAGACAATTCTAAGCAGGCTCCATGCTTAATGCAGAGCCCGGTGGGGAGCTTGATCTTACAACTAAGAGATCATGACCTGAGCCGAAACCAAGAGTCAGATGCTTAACCAACTGAGCCACCCAGGTGCCCTTGTCTTGTTTATTCTGTGTCTCCAGTACCTGCCACATAAGACATGCCAACAAATGAATAAATGGATTGATTTCTGCATTCCCCCCATCCTCTCTCATGCACAGAGAATGACAAAACTTTTCCCCCAGGTACCTGACCCTTCCCTTGGCATTTAGGAAGACATGTTTTTTGAAGAGAGAAAGGAAAAAAACCCTCATTCACATAGTATCTGTTTCTGATTGAAGCAAGGAATTGCATCATTGGTGTCCACACCATACAGTGCCTCAGAAGGCAGGCCTCAGGTGTAGCAGGGCCCTTGCCATGTGTAGTAGGGGTCCAGTAGCAGGGCCATGCATTCTGATTGTGTACACTGAAGACCAGGCTTCTCAACACCACTACCCCTGAGCAGTGATGGGCATTTGCCTATATTGCATATTCTTACTGAGAGCCTCTGGAATGGTGAGTCTCTGTGATTTATTTTGGCTAGTCTATACCAAGTAGAGCTGGCAATAAAAGGCTTTCAGAAGCTCTCAGAGCTTGAGTAGAGCCCTATTAAATAAAGGACTAAGAATGTATAAAACTTCCACAGTCTTTCTCCAGCTGCTATCAATAACCTGACTTCTCATGACCCTGGCCAGGCAGGTAACACCCCAGTCTTTGAAAATGACATATTCCTGCCACAGGCCCCTTACTCATACCTTTTCTTTCTCACCTATATGAAAACTCCTGGGCTGCAAAACCCAGCTCTGTAGCCCCTGCTTGGTGAGGCCATCCTGGGCCACTCTAGGCCACTGTACCCTTTCCCCACTTGAGCATTTATAAGACCTACTGTCCCTTCCATTCATCTGGCGCTTCTCTTTTGCTACCTCTGATTGCTATCATTTCAATCCTGTATTCAAACCATCAGAAATTCCTAATTCCCAGAGGTTCTGCCTCCAAAATGCATTTTAAATATGATCGTTTCTGACTCTCTCCATGCCACAGCTGCAGGTAAGCTGCCATCATCTCTTCCTGGATGAATGAAGAGCCTCTTCAATCATTTCCCTGTGTTTACTCTCACTTTTCTATAGTTAATCCTCCAAACTGGGGATCCCTGGGTGGTGCAGCAGTTTGGCGCCTGCCTTTGACCCAGGGCGTGATCCTGGAGACCCAGGATCGAATCCCACGTCAGGCTCCTGGTGCATGGAGCCTGCATTTCCCTCTGCCTGTGTCTCTGCCTCTCTCTCTCTCTGTGTGTGTGTGTGACTATCATAAGTAAATAAAAATTAAAAAAAATTAAAAAAAAAATCCTCCAAACTGTAGCCAATGACCTTTTAAAAATAAAAAATCAGGGGCAGCCCCCGTGGTGCAGCGGTTTAGCACCACCTGCAGCCTGGGGTGTGATCCTGGAGACCCGGGATCGAGTCCCACGTCAGGCTCCCTGCATGGAGCCTGCCTGTGTCTCTGCCTCTCTCTCTCTCTCTCTCTCTCTTCTCTGTGTCTCTATGAATGAATGAATGAATGAATAAATAAATAAATAAATAAATTTTTAAAAAAATTTTAAAAATAAAAAATCAGATCCTGCTAATCCCTTGCTCAAAACCCTCCAGGCGATCTTGTTCCACCCAGAGTAAAGTCACACTCTCCACTGTGGCCTGAGAGTCCTATGCGATCTCACCCCTGAGCCCACTTCTACTTTCCCCTTTAACCCCATGCTCTAGTTCCAAAGGACTCCTTTTTTGTTGCTCTAACAAGTCAAGAGCAGCCCTCCCCAGGGCCTTTGCACTTGTCCACCCTCCACTTTTCCCACATCTTCACTGACTGGCTCTTTTTCAGAGTTTGGCTCTAAGTTCTCCTCAGAGAGGCCTTCTCTACATTCTCTCCAGAGCAGCCCTCCAGCACTCACTGTGCCTTTGCTCACCCTCTTTTCACATATCACAGACTGGAAGCATCTCATGTGCCTGTTCTCACGATTATCTTCTGGCCCATTCCCTCACTGTCACTGCCATAAGCTCCATGAGGGCAGAGCTTGTCTGTTCTGGGTTCTGCTGAATCCCCAGCATGTAGGACAGTACATTGATTGGGCTCAAGAAATCTCTATTGGAATAAAATGTTTGGTAACACCATCCATTCATTCTATAAACACTTAACTGAGTATCAGACTCTCTGTCAGGGATAGAGACCCATAAGGCATGATCTTCACCACTGGGTAGTTTATGAGTTAGTCTTTTATTTGTGTAGGTCTGAATTTTCCCAGCTAGAGTCTGCTCCACAATGCCTAGCACAGTATTTTGCAGATGGTACTAGCCTGGTGAATGTCAGTGATTTTGACCTTTTGGGAAAAGAGGCGTACAGAGGTTATAACCATGGCAGAAGGTCAGAAAGGTCATTCTAAGATGTCTGCTTGAGTTACTAGTTTTTAAATGTATGCTTCCACTACTCAAGCTCACACTTGTTTGCCCTCCTGGCTGAAGAGAGGAGAAACAAGAGAAGGCAGAAAATCTGGTTCAAGATCTAAGTAGTGATCTTAGGGTCAGACAATAGGTTCTAGGTGAGAAAAGGGATGAGGTGCTTTTAAAAATTAGAACACATGAACCCAAAGGTAGAAGCCTTGACTAAATGAAACATTTCACGCTTTTACACACAGGCAGCCTCGAAAAAGCTGTGATTTGTTGGTGCGTGAGGTGTTTGAGGGCCAGAGTGTTATAATGTTGGAATCATGAGTTCTGGGTAGCTGGCACTCCAGAACTGAGCCCACTGGGTGTCATCACACCTTTACCACCCAATCAGATGTTGAAGCAAGGCACACACACACAGGCCAAGGAGTAAAGGGGAATAGGCATGGGTCCGGGGCCATCGGGGTTGGGGTCAAGTTCCTAGCCACTGCTCACTCCTAACTAGTGAGGAACCATGGACAAGATAAACCCCCCAACCACAGTCCTCATCTGCAAAGGGGCACAAATAAAAGTGCCTACCTCAGTAGGGTTTCTATGAGGACTAAACAAGTTAGGGTATACCTGGGGCCTTGTGCAGTGCCTGGCACATGGAAGCACTCTAAAAACCACCTGTATAGAAGCTGGTGTCCTCTCAGGCAGGGCTTCCCAGGGTGCGTGCACTGGGCTGGAACTTTCCATCCCAGGTCCAGCCCTAGAATGCTGGGTTTTGTAACATTATACAGAGTTCACCCAAAGCTAGTCCGGCTCTGAATAAGTGATACTCACCCGTATCTGTACTCTACATGACAATGGTCATGTCTACATTTTTTCAAAGGAACATTGGTTAAATGCCCTTGATTTCCTTCCCCTCTCCTCTTCAAGAAGACCCTCTGACTAGGAATTTTATGGGGGAGGTGTTAAGTATTTTTACTTTTTACATTAGGCGTCTTAATTAACGTCATAACTATTAGATGATTAAGCCATATCTAATTTTTTTGAGATTTTATTTATTTATTCATGAGAGATACAGACAGGTAGAGAGAGAGAGAGGCAGAGACATAGGCAGAGGGAGAAGCAGGCTCCATGCAGGGAGCCCGATGTGGGACTTGATCCCAGGTCTCCAGGATCAGGCCCTGGGCTGAAGGTGGCGCTAAACCGCTGAGCCACCGGGGCTGCCCCAGCCATATCTAATTTGACAACAGGGGACAACAGGCAATCCACCCATCAGCCCCAAGAGTTTCCTTTCATTTTCATAAAAAAAAAAAAGAAAAAAGAAAAAAGAAAAAGAAAAAAAAGATTTATTTATTTATTTTAGAGAGAGAGAATGCAGGGGCAAGAGGCACAGGGTAGAAAGAGTCCCAAGCAGACTCTGTGGTCAACACGAAGCCAGGTACAGGGCTCAATCTCACAACCCTAAGGTCAGACCTGAGCTGAAACCAAGAGTTGAATGCTTAACCCTAAGGTCAGACCTGAGCTGAAACCAAGAGTTGAATGCTTAACCAAGAGTCGAATGCTTAATTTTTGTTATTTATTGTGGTAAAATACAATAACATACAATGTATCATTGGGCCTCACTCAATTGTATATTTAGTGACATATTAACGTGTGATTGCCTGTTTCACACTGAGTAAGCTTCAGTGGTGCTTCTGTGTGCTTATGGGGAGTAAAGAGTAGGCACTGGGCGTGGGGTAGGGGAGAGCAGGGGAAGAGATTAGGATTGTGTCAGGGTTTAAGGCAACCTACTCTGCTTTGACCATTGCAGCTCCTTAAAAAAAAAAAGAAGAAAAATATTTTTTCCACATTGAACTTCTGTTTTTACCAGAGGAAAGAACTCTGCTTCCCCCTCACCCCGCAAAAACAAAAAACAAACAAACAAACAAAAAACAGAAAAGAAAAGCATTTAGAAACCATTGACACAGGGTAACATTAATCTGTAGGAACATTAGGGTTGACAAATGGCATTTCTGCTTGGAGGACCTTTTCTAGGAACAGAGCCCATTCTAAATGTAAGGGCTGACTCTGTTTATTTAGAAAGCTCATTTGTGTTAGAAAAGAAAAATGTAAATAAAATTAAAAAAAAAAAAGGGGATCCCTGGGTGGCGGTTTGGCGCCTGCCTTTGGCCCAGGGCGCGATCCTGGAGACCCGGGATCGAATCCCACGTCGGGGTCCCAGTGCATGGAGCCTGCTTCTCCCTCTGCCTGTGTCTCTGCCTCTCTCTCTCTCTCTCTCTCTGTGACTATCATAAATAAATAAAATTAAAAAAAAAAAAGAAAAGAAAAATGATGACTATTTTTCTTTAATTTGGGTTAGAACACCAAGGATAAGTAATAAGTAAGATTCTGTTCATAATAACTTGCTAGTCTTTCTTCAGTCTTGGGGAATTATTTTGTCCTGCTGGTACAGAACGCTGATGGTTCTGAAGGACATCAGAGGGCCTGTCATGGCCCGTAACTTGTTAGACACCCCCAAGGAAGACAGTCCATATTTGTGTTCTGAGTGTGTCTGGGGCATGTCTGGGGCAGGACAGGGAGGAGCAGGCTGGGTCCCAGGCAGCCTGGGCTCCAATCCCTCCAATCCAATCAGAGTCACTTTACGGTCCAGGACAGTCCCCTTAACCACTCTGTGCCTCAGTTTCCTCATCCATGGTTACACCTGATTTACCAACTGCATGGGGAAGAAGTGAAGTTCAGAGGAGGTATGATGACCCATGGGGACACGCTCTGGGAAAAGTACCATGCAATATAATGCTGATCACCATTCCTGGCATTGTTTCTTTCTTCCCAGGAATATCAGGATTTTGTAGACATTTAGACTGGCTCTACTTGATTTTTTTGAACTTCTGACTCTCAAATTTTTTTCCTATGTATTTTACTTTCCTTCCTCATAGAACTGGTTGAGGGTAGAAAATTGCCACATTAAAGTGAATTAAGCAGATAGGAACCTCCCTTTAAGAGAGTGTTGTTAAAAAAAAAAAGGGTCAAAACTGAGGGGGAAAAAAAGGATGCCACCTGCTTGGGCTCTAAGATACTCTGGGCCTGTACCCACATGCAGGTATGGCTGGCTGGTCTCTAGGCTAGTTCTAGGCTCAGGTGGCAATTGCACTGCTCAGTTGAAGCAAGGAGAGCATGAGAATGTGAGAGAGATCCATGTCACACAGAGACCTAGAAAGCTGTTTTAATCCTAGGACCAAACACTGCTCTTGGAACCTGCCTCCAGGGTGAGGTACGTGTGAGGTCCATGTAAACCACAGTCCAACTTTGTAACCTCCTCTGTGTGGAGTATTTCCCATAGGCTCTGTCCACCCTGTGCTCAAACTTCCTCTCTCCTATAGCTGTTCACCCATTTGCCTTCACCTCTGGCTTGGCCAGCAGAGCTACCTCTGCTCCTGGACTCCCTGAACTTCTGGCCATACCCATCCCACAGAAGAGGAGAGGCGGAGGAGGAAGTAGTACCATTAAGATAAGAACATGCCACCCAAAAGTACACAGAGCTTGCACCTCTCCCAAAGGCCCTGCCCCCAGGGCTTGGGCATGTTCAGGGCACCAAGGGAGCCCCGTGACACGAGCCCACCTGGTGTTCACACTTCCCTCTGGGAGAGAGTGGGCATGGGCACCCACAGATACTTTGTTCTGTTCATCAGCAAGAATTGTTTTCTGCTCAGAGAACCCAGGGGTGGAGATCTAGGGAGGACGAAAGAGCAACTAGTGGGCAGGACTAAGTCAGTAAAGAGACCAGTTTAATGCTGTGCAAAACAAAGAAATAATTTGTTTCTAAGTCTGCCAGGTCCAAAGCCACTGAGCAGCCTTGCAAGTCTCAAAATCTTTTATGGGGCTGATGGTTTCTGGGTTGTTGCTGCCGGTTGCAGACCATGCCCCCAGACCACATTTGTTGAGGGATGCAGAGGTAGTATAAATAGTGGTTAGGAGCCTGGCCTCTGGAGCCTGGGTTCAAATCCCAGCTGTTCCACATACCAGCTGTGTGCTACTTCTCCGTAACAAGTTTCTCTTGGGAATGATGATAATGGTATTTATTTCATGGGTGTGGGGAAGCTCACGGAACTCTGCCTGGTACACAGGATGAGCAGTTATTCAGATCAACAGTGCTCCTGAGTACCACTCTGGAAGGGAAGTAATTCATGTCCCATAGCTGCGGAGTGGCAGAGCTGTGGCCCCAGACCTTTCCCTAATTGTGGGCTCCGCCTGGAATGGAAGCATTTGTCTGGCTTTCTCACATGCCTCGACCTCCCTCCTCTCTCACACAGCGATGGGCACACAGGAGTCTGTGGAGTTTCAGTGTTGAATTGGGCAGGACCCCCACCCTCTCCCGACCCTCTTCTCCCCTCCCCTCCACTCCCCTCCCCTCTCCTCCCTGCCAGGCACCCTCCAGATTCAGCCCAGGGAGGCAGGTGGAGATGGAGCAGCTGGGCAGTCTGGTGCCTTGACGTTTATCTCTCTTTCCTCTAATTCCAGATTTGGAGATCACGGTCCCAATTCGGCACTCACAGCACCCGCCCGGGAAGGTGGAGTTTGGAGTCTATGAAAGCGGCCCCAGGAAAAGCGTCTTCCCCCCAAGGACAGAGTTGAGGCGAGGAGACTGGAAAAGCGATAGTACCTCCAGCACAGCAAGTGAGCAGGGGAGGAGCGTGCCTCTACATCTGCATTCCAGCTGGCGCCTGTGGGCTTTGCCAACAATTTCATACTGAGAGCCCAGCAGATCCTCCATTGGAGCCTGATCTGTATTTAGGGGTGTAAGAAATAGGGGACGTTTAGCCTGAGTTTGCCTTTCTTCAGAGGGCCGGAGATCCTTTACATCAATATCCCCTGAACATAATAATTGATTTCACCATTCCTTCTGTAGACAGAAAAACCTAGTAATGATACCAATTAACATTTGTTGAGCATTTACTCTATGCTAAGCCTTTTCTATAGAGTCTCTAATTTAATTCTCACACTAAGTCTGTCCGATAGGCAGTATCCCCAGTATGGAGGAGGAAACTGGAGTGTTGGTGCCTCGCCCTATGTTAAACAACTAGTAAGCAGTGATGTCAGCATTTGAACTCAGGCAGCCCAGATCCAGGGCCCAGACTCTCAACCACTCTCCTTTCTGCTTCCTCAACCTGATAAGGGGAAGGAAAGGGCACAAAGTCAGAAACATTAGAAAACAAGGGACTCACACTTGAGAATTTCAACTTTATGGATGAGTTGAGGATCCAGTTAGGAAATGTGGAAGACATTTTGGCTTGAAAGCTTGATAGAGTCTGCAACAGACAACACCTGCTGATGGCCACACAGGAGGCAGGGGCTTTGTTTCTGTATCCAGGTTGGTGTCAGCTGACTTCAGACACACGGGCCTCACCAACAGCATAGATTGGGTTTCCCTTTTTTAAAACAGCTTTGTGTTATCAAAACAGCTAGGAGAACAATGGAAGAGTAAGAGACTCAGGACTGAATTTGAGGACTCGTGGCTCATTAAATGTCAGGCACAGAACCCCCAAATGGATATTTGGACAGGAAGGTCATTGAACCCTGGGGGTTCTTAATCTTTTCTGCATCACAAGCCCCTTTTAAGAATCTGATCTGTGCTCTGGATATGCTTCCCAGAAAATTGCATGGATATGTGTCCATACATATACACACAGTATTACCCATCTGTGGGCTTAGATCAAGAACCCCTGCATTAGTCTCCCTTCTAACTCTATAGATGGGGTATTTATAATCCAAAGAAGGAAAGAGTGGTGTGCAAGGTCACACAGCTAATGAAGCAAAGGTGGAAGCTGACCCAGCTCTTCTCTCAGGTTAACATTCCTACTACTACTATCTGTTGAAACAGACCCAAAGCCCATTATGTGGCCACAGGGAAGCCTAGATGGGGCAGAGGAGAAAACTTCTAATGTAACGAGGGTGGTAATGTGTAGCCGAAACCCTTGAGGCAATTTAGAGAATTCTGACAAGTTCGAAAATGGGAGAGATTTTCCCAGTGATCCCAGATGGCTGACAAAGCATGAGGCAGATGGCCCATCTCTCAGATGCATGGTTGAGGAGGAAAGCGGTATAGATCCTCTCAGGGTGAGGGCAGGGCATTCTGGGGTGGGGAGGAGGGGAAATTTAACAAGACAGATGTAAAGTACTTGTTTCAGGCTCAGGTTAATTTAAATGATTTTATGTGTATGTTTTACTTGGAGGTGAAAACAGAACGGAAAACATAAACTGTGCTTCTTACTTTATATGGTGGTTTATTGTTTAGGAGTGGCTGGGTCATCTGTCTAGAGAAGGGTATTAAATGACAGACCAATGGTTTTTACTCTGTGGCTGTTGCCTGAATCCAGTCCCTTCTCTACAGTTTTAATTATCTATTGCTGTATAACAAACCACCCCAAACATAGTGGCTTGAAACAACCATTTGTTTATACCGGATTCTAAACTTGGGCAAGACTCAGTGGAGATGCTTCATCTGCCCTCCACATGGGTTAGCTGGGGGTCATTCCTGTGCATTGTCCTCAGCTGTAAGCTCATCATGGGTGGGAACATCCTAGATGGTCTCTCATTTTTGGGGGCCTCTCTGTATGTGGCCTCTAAATCAGTATCCTGAACTTCTTATATGGTAACAAAATCCAGAAAGGGAAATTCCTGGAGGATAGGCCCCAATGTGCAAGTGCCTATCATGCTTTGTCTTGCATCATACTCACTAATGTCGTATTAATCAGAGCAAGCCACGTGGCTAAGCCTGGAAGGAAAGAAGGAAGGGGCTATTCAGAGGCATGGGTACTGGAAGGTGAAGGTCTGGGGTCACTAATGGATCTTGAGATTGATGAAGTGATGGTAGCTGCTGCCATCAATCAGATGCTTCCTCTTGGAGGCCCTGTGCCAAGCATGTGTCCATGTGACCTAATCCATTCTGTGCAACAATACTGGGAGTTCTAGACCACGAAATGGACATTTAGGGAGGTTAGTCCCTGGTTGCTGGCCAAGTAGGCCGAACGTCTGGGTTTCACATCCAGATCTTTCTGTGCATGTAACCATTGGCACATACTGCCTTCCAAATATATATAAGTCCTCAGGGCTGGGAGATAGAGTGAAGATGGCCTAGCTCTGATCTACCAACTGTCCTTTACCCACCAGGATCACTCTGAAAACAACACTATTTTTATTATGGTGTAGGTGTCATCTCTTGGGAACCACAGAAAAACAGTTGCAGGTTAAATCTGGTTATACTTAAATTTTAGTTAAGAATATTAATGTTATATTTAACAGAACACAAATTTCATTTCAGAAAGACTTTTAACCTTTTTGTAGACTGTTGAGTCCATGTTTCTTGAGGGTCATATTATATTTGGTCACTTCTTCCCCTTATTTATTTATCCACCAAATATTTGAGGACTGCTCTGTGCATTATGAGTGAGACTATACACTAGAGACATAAAGACGAAAAAGAAATGGAGCCCATCTTTGGGGGACTTGTAATGGAGTAGAGAAAATACAAAACTAGCATGAATTAGATGCTTGATCTTTCTTCCTGGTGACAGAGGCCTGGAAGAGGTAGGCACTGCCCTCCTCCCCACTGGCAAAAGTGATGATGGGGGTCAGAGCCTCCTACCAGCCATGCAGTCTAGTGGGGATGTGGGTAATAAGTCCTGGAGAGGAGAGAGGGCCAGGGTAGATGAACCAGGGAACCAAGGTTTAAAGACAAACACTGGGGTCTAAAGATTCAGGAACACCCAGGGAAGTCACAATGGGAGCCAATGAGTATGCATTTCCAAGGTTCTGGGGCCAGTGCCTGGGCAGCTTTTTGGTCTCTCCCAGCAGATAACCTTTAGAAGGAGGCTGGTTCATTAGGAGGGAGTGGGATGAAGAATGGTAAATGACAGGAGGCTTGACTTCTTCATAGGCCTGGGATCCATGGGCTGGAGGAGTTACTTCCACTAGGGGATTCTGGAAATTCCTGAGCATTGGCACCTGAGGTTTTAGCCTTGTAGATAAGGGTGGGATGGGGACATTCTGGCCAAGTGGAAGTTGTTATGTGTGGATAACTGAATGGAAAGGAAAAGGATCACATGCTCCTTAATAAGCAAACTCTGAATCCCCTGGCTTACATAAGTATTTTGACATATTCTTTTAAATTTAAAAATCTACTCCCCCAAAATAATCCAAAATTATAATCTTAACCTGCTCGATTTAAGCTCACATCTAAATTAATTAGGCCAAAGTTGATACCGTAATGAAATTGAAACTAAGAATATTTACTTATAAACTAATATGATGAGCTGTGTTAAGTGACAATTCAGTAAGCCTAAGATCTGGCAGTACTACTAGTGGCAATAGTGGTAAATTAAAATCAATTTATTTTGTTTTAGTTGATGGACTTTTTTTTTTTTTTTTGGCTCCTGGATCATCACCTATTTCAGCTTGTTCTAAATCTGTGTTGTCCCATATGGTAGCCACTAGCCATATGTTAATCAAACTAAATAAAATTTAAATTTAGTTCCTCAGTTCTTGGTATGCTCTAGCTACCATATTGGTATACTATAGGACATTTCTAGACAGTTCTATTGGATAGGGCTGTTCTAACAAGATAGGAAGGTGATAGATTCCCAGTTCAAAAGACTGGAGCACCTAAACTCATCCAATCACGGTTCCTACCGTGAGCATAAATTATGCTTTGGAGTTTGGAGTTTGCGCTTTGTATTTTGTCTGTATCAAACTGGCTTCTTATTGGAAGGTGTATATGTATGTGTGTGATTACATGCTTGCTATAATTTCTAAATAAGTAAAAAATTTCAACAAGATGTTTGCAGATTTTAGAAATACCACTGAACAAGCAAGAAATTGAGCATCTCTGCTTCCTTGTCTGTCAAACCAGAGCACTAATATCAGATAGGATTTTCACACGGATTAAGTGCAGTCATGTTTTTAAAGCATGTAATGTGTGATAAGCCCTCAGTAAATAATAGCTATAAAGCAAAAAAAAAAAATTGTAATAAAAAGGTGAACCGTTTCATTTTATGCTGAAAAAAAAGTAAAACTAATAAGATGGCAGCATTTTGAAGATCCCATATTCACAGCTTATATATTGTTTCTATCAGTAGTAATAAGTAAGGGATAGAGTTCTGCATTTTATTTTAGCCTGAGAGAATCCACAGTCCAGCTAATTTTGTTTGTACCCTTTAGGCAGTACAAGTAACCGATCCAGCACCCGGAGCCTCCTCAGTGTGAGCAGCGGGATGGAGGGGGACAATGAGGTGAGAGGTGGGGACTCCAACCCCATTTTTTCTTGTCCTAGTGGTTATTCCACTGCAAGAAATAGAAATCCAGGTGAAAGAAGCCAGACATGAGAGGTCACATATTTTAGGATTCCATTTATGTGAAATATCCAGAAGAGATAGAATCAGAGAGACAGGGGCACCTGGGGGGCTCAGTGGTTGAGCATCTGCCTTTGACTCAGGTCATGATCCTGGGGTCCTGGGATCAAGTCCTGCATCAAATCCCCACAGGGAGCCTGCTTCTGCCTCTCCTTCTGCCTCTGTCTCTCTCTTGGTGTTTCTCATGAATCAATAAATAAAATCTTCAAAAAAAAAAAAAAAAGAGAGACAGAATACAGATTTGGTAGTTACCAGAGGCTGGGAGGAGGGGAAAATGAGGAGAACACTGTTTCCTTTTGGGATGATGAAAATGTTTTGGGACTAGATAGAGGTGGTGGTTACACAATATTGCAAATGTCCTAAGTGCCACTGAATTTTTCACTTTAAAATGGTGAATTATGTATGTGAGTTTTACCTCAATAAAAAGGAAGGGAGGGTAGAAGGAAGGAAGGAAGGGAGGGAGGAAGGAAGGAAATGAGGGAAGGGAGGCAAGGAGGGAGAGGTTAATCCCCTGACTGGTTAAGCCAAAGAGCATCTGTTAGAAGGAGCTGGATGACTCTCAGGGAATCTAGAGGATTGAGATCACATTTGGAGCCCTCGATCAGGAGCAGTGAGAAATGCCAGAGCCAAGGCCACTGCTCCATGTATTCCCAGGGGCATGAGCTCTTTCGTCTTTTCTTCCCTGTGCATATCTGCTTTCTTTCACTGCACACTGGCCTTTTCTGTGCCTCCACATGTATAGTCCCCTGAGAGCCATAAGGCCTCTGAGGAGAGGGTGAGCTGCTGCCTTAAGACTGAGCACAGTTTGGGTCAGGGTGTTTTTTTTGATCCTGTGATCACTGGCTGGGGCAAGCAGGAAGAGTCACTTAGGTCCCTGCCAAACCAGGAGGAGACTCTATAGGGTCCTCGGGGTGGGCCACTCCTCCAGGGAACAGCTTATATTAATTACTCCATGACTGAGAACCACTCATGGTTATGCTGTCCCAAAAAGGGACTTTGGTTTAAAAATAAAATTTCTCCAACTCTATCTGGTTACATGGAGCAAGCTACTCAAACCTTAATATGCTTAAGAATTACCTAGGATCTTGTTACTTTGCAGATTCTGATCTAGTAGGCCTGAGGAGGAGCTTGAGATCCAGCATTTCTCCCAAGCTCTCTGGTGATGCTAATCTGATGGCCCACAGAGGGCCACTCTGAGTAACAAGGACCATTAAGGATAATTTGGGCACCATTGTCTCCTCAGTGATGGTAGGCTCAGTAGAAAACTGCCCTGGTGTTGCTGGGCTCATTCTCAATTTTTGAATAACCTTTAGCCAAAGCCTGAGGAGGACTGAGAGGCTTTTGGGATAAGGGTGTCTGATTACGCTCATTACTTAACACGTTCCCTTTTCTTTCTCTTTTTTTTTTTTTTTTTTTGCTATAGGATAATGAAGTCCCTGAGGTTACCAGAAGTCGTAGCCCAGGACCCCCACAAGTGGAAGGAACACCCACTGTTCCCCTTGAGAGGCCCCCCAGGGTACCTCCAAGAGCTGCTTCACAAAGGTAACATTGATGCTGATGATAAATGTTTTCCTCACTCTCTGAATTCCATTGGGGGAGAGTAGGATTTGGGGGTATCTAAAACCATCTAAGAATGAGTGCAGATCTAACTGTAATTCCTACTTTTGATGCATTTCAGTGTGGACTCTTCATTAATCAGATGTTTTTTTCAAGTGCAGATACTTTATTTTTTTATTTTTTAAAGATTTTTAATTTATTTATTCATGAGAGACACAGAGAGAGAGAGGGAGGCAGACACAGGCAGAGGGAGAAGCAGGCTCCATGCAGGGAGCCTGACGCGGGACTCGAACCCGGGTCTCCAGGATCACACCCTGGGCTGAAGGCGGTGCTAAACCACTGAGCCACCCGGGCTGCCCAAGTGCAGATACTTTAAATAGCAAGTGCAGTTATTTCATCAATAAAGTGCATTGGTAAACATCAGCTTTTCCAGTAATTTGTATGTTTACTTGAAATTTGGCTCCCTAATAACTAATTGCCTTGGCCATATTGTGGGGGACAGTGCCTTTTGGGGACCAAGAGATAAGGAATTGGGGATGAAAATAACGGTGGGGGGCAGCTCGGCATGGTGGGGAGCATGGCTCTAGTGCCACACTATGTGGGGACAGTGTCCAGAAGTCACTTGTGAACTTGGATGAATTACTTCCCTTCTGTGTAACTCAATTTCTTTGTTTGTAAAATGGGGATAATAGTAGAACATCCTCAGTGATTTACAACTCTTGGCCAAAAGAGTTTTACAACTTTTGGCCCAGAGTAAAAACTCAACAGAATGAGTGAGTTTTCTTATCCAGAAGAATGAGCATATGGAGATTTGGAGATGGGCATTAGACAGATGAGTTTGGAGTGTTTACTGGGCCCTGATGTCTGTCTTTGTTTATAATGGTACTCGGGCCTCTGGTAGGAACCTGTTCAGGGCCTCGTGGAGTAACAGGAAATGTGGTCAAAGTTAGCTTGTATGTCTGCCCATGCAGAAAGGGGCCTTGGGAATGAAAGCCTGGGTTTGTCCCAGGCATTTATTTCTTTGATATCTAAAAGATAATGTGGGAGAAAAATGATTAAAAGGTAGAAGCTTTTTTTTTTCTTTTTTTAATGTTGAAACTTAAGTGAATCTCATCAGTGCTATTTGTCAAGAAAGTGCAACAAGGAGGCTTTTCTGGTTTTCTGGCAAGAGAAGCTGATTCTGTCCTAGGCATCTGTCCATTTCTCCCTTTGTTGTTCACCACTTTTGCATGTGCTCCCAGTAACAGTTAACATACTGACACTTGTTACACAGATCCTCCACAATAGCCAGTGGTGTCCCACTTACCAGCATGTTTCCCTGGTGTAGACCAGGTCAGATAGCAGAATGTTAGTCCTGGGAGGACCCACTGTAGCGATAATCTGGTCCATTCCCCTGAATTGGCATAATGTGCTGTTGCTTGAAAATTATTATATAGTTGGGGGAGGGGTATTTATGGAGAATGATTATAGTAATAAATGCTAATCTGTATTGGGTGTGTATGTACTAGGTATTATGTTCAACACACCAAATGTATGATCTCACTTAATTCCTTCCACAGCTCTCAGAGATATATGTTAGGATTACCCCATTTTGCAGATGTAGACACTGGGGCTTGGATTGGATTGAGACTTGCTCTGTGTGGCAAACCTGGGTGTGCCTGATTGGAGGCTCCAGGGTTTCAGTCATTTTGTGACACCTGTCCGAGAGGATCAAGGTATCAATAGGAGGAGATCCAAGACCTAAGACCTTCCATTCCTGAAGATTGAAGAGTTTGGAGGCAGTTAACTAATTGCACCAAGATGAAAAGAGTTGTCAAGATTGAAACTGTAACTTCAAGACTCTGTGGGACTTTGTTAATGGGAGAGAAAAAGAGAACAACCAGGGAAACAAGTTCCAGAAATTAAAGGATAGAAAGCGGGATGCATTTAAATGTGTAAACAGAGATGGCTGATGAATTTTTGGGGGAGTCTGGAAGTGTGTTGTGATATAAATGGGAGCAAAAAGGAGGAAAAATGCTTTTTACTAAAGAAATGGTGTTTGCAAAGAAATCTGTAATTGATAGACCTTAGCATTTGGGTTCCTTTTTGGTGTGAAGAAAGATTTGCAAATATGCGATTGTTTTGTAAGTATCTATACATTCGCATAATAAAGTGAGGAGCTGTTTGAACAAAATAATAAAGTCATCAAATGGCTTCTATGCTTGACCCACTGACAGACTGACCTCCCCTTTTCAGAGGGGAGGCTGACCTTGGGGGTCTCCTCTCCACTTCCAGATCTCGGAATCCATAATTGTTCTTTGCCCATGTCACCTGAGCACCCCTGCTCTCAAACAGCACTGGAGGTGCAGTGCTTATCACCCCTTCCTCCCAGTCCTTGTCCATTCCACCTGCTCATCCCGTGTGCTGTCCCCAGAACTTAAGCTGCCAGCGAGGACTCCGAGCCTCCACCTCTATCTCAGCCCTCTGTTTGCTCCTCTCTACCGGTGACCTCGACCTAGATGCCCTACAGGTATTTCCAACACAGCCCGTGCAAACCTGAATTCATCCGCCTGCCATTCTCTGTCCCAAACTGTCTTCTTCTGGTGAGTTCCCAGCCTGGGATAATGGCACAGTTCTTTCACTTCCCCAAGCACCAAAACCAGACGTTCTCCTCCAACCCTGCCTCCCTGGGAGCTCCCACAGAGTGTGTCTCCAAACTCTGTCCAGTCTGCTGCCCTTTCAGCTCTCGGATCCACCCCCTCTCCATCTGCCAGTGCCCACGTGCATGCTTGTAGACCCACACTTACCTCCCTCCTCCACGTTGCTGCCAGAGTGCACTTTCTAGATCAGAAATTGCTGATGATGTCACTTCCTGGCATAAAAGCCTGCACATTTAATGCCGTATTTTTTAGCATGCTCTGGCCCTGTCTAGCCTCAAGTTCCACCGTCTCCTATATTCGCTGGTGTTCCACCCCCCACCCCTGCATTCCCAGTGAGCTGTGCCATTTGGAACTGTGTCTTTGCCCAATCTGTGCCTTTGCCTGGAATTCTGTCTCCCTCCTCCCTTCTGATATCTGCTTAGAAAATTCCTGCATATCCTTTTGGATTCAGTCTAGTCATCACCTCCTCTATGAAGCCTCCCCTGATGTTCCTATGCAGAATGAGCCTTCTTATGGTTCCCCACATACCTCTATTATACTTCATTCACATCATGGCCCTTGTTTACATATTTGTTTCCTCAAGTGTCTGGTGAGCCTTGAAAGAAACTGCTTTTGATTAAAACAGTTTTTCTACTATCTGCAGTCCCAGTAGTTAGCACAGTAACTAGAACATAGTAGGAACTTAGTATTTATCATGTAAGTGAATTAATGGATGGATGGAAAGATTGGTACTGTTTGTGTTAGACTACCCATATCTTTAAAAGTTAGCCATCAGGTCATCTCCCACAAAGCAGGTGGGTTATAGATGGGTGGAGAGAGGCTTCACACTCCCACCTTTAAGTTCCCAATGTTTTTTAAAGTCAGGGAAGGTGGATGGTGACAAGAACAGGAGCAGATGCATGCATCTTTTTTTTTTTTTAATGCAAGGATTTTTTTTTTTAAGATTTATTTATTTATTTATTCAGAGAAAAAGAGAGAGAGAGAGAGAGAGACAGAGAGAGAGAGAGAGGGAGGCAGAGACACAGGCAGAGGGAGAAGCAGGCTCCATGCAGGAAGCCTGATGCAGGACTCGATCCCAGGTCTCCAAGATCACATCCCGGGCCGCAGGCGGTGCTAAACCACTGCGCCACCCGGGCTGCCCAGATCCATGCATCTTTGCATGGCATTTCCCTTGTAGGGCATTAGTCCTTAGAGAGTGGGGAGGTGTCTAGGACTATCACGCTCTTCTTGGGTGAAGTCCTGCCACTTGACCAAATAAACAAAACCCCTCCCACATCCCCAAAACAAAGCCCAAAATCTTACTGAGCCATCACTGTTTTGTTTTATAAATATTTTGCCATTCGTTAGTCAGTCACTAACAACCTGTGCATTCCTTTTTAAGGCATACATAGCCAAGGTCCTGTGTAATCAGAACATACTTCTGGAGGCCTCCTGCAGCACCCAAAATTAACATGTTAGATGCAGAATTATAAGAGGTCTGTGGAGTCTCTAGGAGGGGCTGGAATGGTCAGTGAGTAAGGGTACTTGGAACTGAAGCTATTTATTAATAGGGAAGTTGAAAAATATTGTCAACAATGTTATGATCATAAAAAAGCATACCAGCTAAGTAACAGTCCTGCTTTAAAAGAACGTTAACCAACATTGAGATCGCTGGGCTCTTGAACTAAACTCATTGGCAGCAAGAGCTTCCCCCTCGACAAGGAGGAGAAAGCAGGCAGCTCTCAGGCATCTCTGGGCACTTGAGTTTCCAGCTGCAGCTTCCCAGTGTCCTGGAGAGGGTGTCCCCCACCGACCACCCTTTGATTCTGTTTTTACACTCTGTACGTCCATGGTTCCGATAGGTCTATGATCACAAATCCATTTCCTTGAGATAGGACTTCCAGTCCTAGGTTGGGATTGTTCATCAGAATAAAATACAGAAATGGTTTGCTTGTAGGCCCACCCCAGCTGCAGCATGGGGCAGCAGAGAGAGGAAGAGGGGCCAGGGGAAATCATGACTGTCTTTATGGTGGAGGATAAATCATAAGGCTCATGGAGCACACATGGGAAAGAAATCTAAGAACAGATCTTTATTCATAATAAGAAGATTATTAGCTTTACTTCTGGAGTGTCTGGTTTCCAAGTGTCATCTCCAAGCCTCACACAACACGCAGATGTAGGTATCTGTGGGTACTTCTGTTTGGCAGGTGAGAAACATATTCAGAGAAGTTGAACTTGGCCTTTGGATGAGTGCATGATTGCCTTTGCTATGTCTTCCCATAGGTTCTGAACTTTATCAAAACAGTGCAGTTTTCTGATTGTTCCTATTGTCTGTTTTATCCATTAATTTCTTAGCACCATGAGGACGGATCCATGTTCATCATACTTGCTGCTGTTTCCCATGCCCAGGAGTAGACACATTTTGAGGGTGAGGGAGGGTGGAAAAGGAGGAAGGTAAGAAGGAAGAAACAGAGTGAGCAAGCAATCCAGGAAGCCAAGAAGCCTAAGCTTGTTCATGTAACAAGTAGTATTACCTAACTGTCCTTTCAGCCTTCTCCTATAAGCCATAGTTCATAGGGTGGGTTGGAGAGGTGGAAAGAGACTGTCAATTAGTTTTTTCCAGATAAAGAGGCAACGACACAAAACTGTCTGACTTCTGGAAGCCACAGTAGGGCCTCCTGAGCATGATTGTGGCTGTTTCTTTCTACTCCTGCTTCTCTGCCTTATTCCTGAGACAGCCCCTTTCTTCAACTCTTTTGTCATTTCCTTGACCTACGTAAAACTTGCATTCAAGAGACATTTAGTAAATATTTAATCATTGATCCATTCAATCCTCAACTATGCAAGTCCAGGATAGCACAGTTCAATTTCAACACCTGACAAAGCTCTCTTTCTTGACTTATTGACTTGCTTCCAAGAGAATCAAATATTGGTTTTACAGCACACATGTGGAAATACCATCCACAATTGTTGAACTTCTCTGTAAATAGACTCACCCAGGTCTGTCTAGAATCGCATTTAGGACTGTTTAAAAACCGATAAAATGGAGGGGGGCTTCTAGGAAAGCAAATCTGGAGTTGGGATAGCACACTTAGTGACCCCAAGAGGAAATCGTTGTGAGAAGCAGAGTTTAGAAATTCTAAATTCTTGGAGCACCTGGCTGGCTCAGTGGTTGAGCGTCTGCCTTTGGCTCAGGTGGTGATCCCAGTCCTGGGATCCAGTCCCACATCAGGCTCCCCACAGGGAGCCTGCTTCTCCCATTCCCTGTGTCTCTGCCTCTCTCTGTGTGCCTCTCATGAGTAAATAAATAAAATCTTTAAAAAAAATGTTAATTCTTTTCTCAAAAGACCCCCTACTATAGTATGTTTTCTGCCTGGCTGCATATTTGAATCACTGGTGTTTTAAAATATAGGCTTTATTATTATTTAGGTATGGTAAGGTCAGCAGATGAAGAGACAACTGCTTTTGAGATGATAGTTTGTTGTATTCATAGATCCCAAGAGGAAGGGGCATGTTATGCCATGGGGTCCCACTGGGGAAGCACTGGGTTACTCAAGAGAAAAGCAGCAGACTAGAGGAACATGGATAAGAGCTTTTATTGTGGTTTCTGCAGGAGAGTACAAGTAAGGTAGGGTAAGCAGATTTAGGATTGGCTAGTTTGAATAATTTCAGTGGACTCTGGGGCAAAGGTCCCTAGTTGTCTAGCACCTGGCCCTGGAGTGATTAGGGCAGATGGATACCGGCCCAAATGTGAGAACCCATAAAGGAAGTAGTTGGGGTATAGGCTGGGACTGGTTAGTTTGCATATGAAAGGTGTGCTCATCAGGAAGTTGCTATCTGTAGGAATCAGTTTGCCTTGGGAGGGGCAGTCCCTCCGGGATTAGTGAGACTCCAGGTATCAAAATATCAGAAAATAGAAGACATGGGTAATATAGTAATATAACTCATTGGGTAGGGACACTGTTAAAAAGTTGTGATGCATGACCCTATCTTCCAGAGGTTAGGAGGGAATGGGTTTAGGAGAGAGCCTGGGAATTGGTATTTTTTAAAGGTCCATGGGTAATTCTAATGTGCAGGTAAGGTTGTGATCCACAGCCAGCAGGTGTGCCTTTCAGGGGTCTGTATGGTTTCATTAATTAAGGAGCATGTTCTTTGCATAATTTACCAAGTTCGCAACAAACCTTGGATGCCTAAGAACTAGTTAATTAGATTCATTTAAAAATAGTTACTTTATGGGGGATCCCTGGGTGGCGCAGCTGTTTGGCGCCTGCCTTTGGCCCAGGGCGCGATCCTGGAGACCCGGGATCGAATCCCACGTCGGGCTCCCGGTGCATGGAGCCTGCTTCTCCCTCTGCCTGTGTCTCTACCTCTCTCTCTCTCTCTCTCTCTCTCTCTCTGTGACTATCATAAAGAAATAAAAATTTAAAAAAAATAGTTACTTTATCTTTTATTTCAGACCTCCAGCCAGAGAGACCTTCCATCCTCCTCCACCTGTTCCGCCCAGAGGTCGCTGATTCCACCTCCTGAAACTTGCCAAACATCAGGACTTTGAGACTTGCAGTTTCAGCCTGTTAATAATGTCTTCATGTTGAGTTTTAAAGTATGACTGCTGACCAGAAGATCTACTTTCATGGCTGATGCTGTTGTGGCCCTGCTGGTTTGGGCTTTCCTTGAAGAAGGTATTTTTGAGGAATGAAGAAGTGAAAACTAAGGACTTTATTCACCATCACCAAGTATATTGATCCATATCCCTGTTTGCCAAAAGGATAAAGACTGACTTAATTGGAATACTCACCTCTAATTTGGCATGTTAGAAGCCTGAAAAGATTGATCAGAAATGTAATTTACAAGTGATTTTACTGAAATGCACTTATATTAGGCCTTACTTATTTGCTAGTCCAGACTAACTTCTAGAAGTGGTTATGATTTAAGACTTACAGCATTCAGGTAAGGAGATATGTCCTGATTTTTAAATGGGTCTTCAACTTTTCTATAGATTCAGGAGGGTGTTTAAATGCCCGGGCTGTTCACATAGGACAAACTGAAAAAGACTTTAGAGAGGGATTAGTCCTAACTCCTTTTATATGGAAGACAAATCTGAGATTCCATAAAAACCAAGACTATACAATTGGTTAGAAGAAGATATGTGTCTAGAATCTGGGTCTCTTAATTCCAGGTCACCACACTATAAATTTCTAGATAATCAATTGCTCCCTCAAGAAATGCCACATGTAGATTATTAACCTTCCAGAAATGTCCTTCTTCTATATCTCCCAGGCATGGCACTATCAAGTATTTTTTTCAGTTTGGGCATTTATACTTCAGTATGCTTTCAAAACAGGATTGTTGGCAAGGAACATCTATAAATGGCTGGGAACCAGAAGCTTGGGATACCAGTGACCCCATTTATTGTTCTGCAGCCTTTTTATAGGGCTTACTAGTTCTGGCCATAAGAAGACAGTAGGACCCTTGATTCTTTCTCTGCCAAGAGGTCAAAAGAGAAAAAAGGAAGAATGTAAAATAGAAACAGTTATCTATTTCCTTAATATTACCGCTAGACTTGGGGTATCTGTGCAGAGAGAGCCATTAACGTGTCATAATTATTGTATGTCACTAATCTATCATTAATTTTGAGTCACTGGCACAGAAATCTGCCTTCAAAGCACAGATCCTTAATTTGATACTTAAACATAAAGTTAGCAATCAGACACATTCCTTTAAAAACTATCAGAAATCTGGTAATTTTTTATGAAATGTATTCTCTATCCCATGCAGATATATGTAAGGCACACTATTAACAGTCTATTTAAATATAGTTTTATTGTGTCCTTTTCTAATGATTCAGGGTTGTTTTGTTTTGGTTTGGTTTTTTGTTTTTTTTTCCCCCAACTTCATTCATTGGTCTAGCAAACAAGGACTCTTACTGAAATGAATAGCTTCTGGGTCATGGGTCTTTTTTCTGACATGAAATACACTATTGGCTGTGGCCATTAACAGAGTGTTTGTTCAAATTCCCTACCACAATGCTTGGCACACAGTAGCCATTCTACAGTGGTTCCTTTACTCTCCTTGTCACTTATTTGGGAAAAAGAGGGTAATGTGGGATAGAGAACAAGAAATTATAATGTTGGTATGATTGTCCTTCCTCTTATTTATACATGATCTCTTAAGCACATTTGATTTTGATAAAAGCTACCCTTTTTTAAAAATATTCAGTATCTCTAAGTTCCCTCTTAGATGTCAAGTTTAGATTTTTGTACATTCTCTAATTAATAAGCATTTAGATGAATAACTTGGCAAAACTTACTGCCAGCTAATGATGTTAGCATCTTTGTGTGCACATCACTGTTTGTGCAATATTGGAATATTTTATTACATTTTTATTCTTCTGTGAAAGTAAGTGGAAAACATAAAATTAAAAGTGTTGTTTAGAAACTTGAGTCTGATAAATGTGACACACTTGAGACATGGGTGGAAATGGTCAGTTCATTGCACATCCAAACTGCTCCATGTTGTCTAAGAATGACTCTAATGATGAAGTGAAATTCCTCATTTTCTAGAAACAGAACAACCCATTATGACATAAATTCAACTTCCACATACTCATCTTCTGTACACATTTTTAGGAACATTATTATGTAACAAAACCATGGATTTCAATACAATGAAGATCAGAGACTAAATTGTAATTAGGTATCCAAAGAAACTCAAAAAATTTCTCTGTATGATGCTTTGGGAGACAATTCAGCTGCCACCATCTTTCCCCAAGATTTTACGAGCTGGTTTTTTTTTTTTTTCTTAAAGATTTTATTTATTCATTAGAGACACAGAGAGAGGCAGAGACACAGGCAGAGGGAGAAGCAGGCTCCATGCAGGGAGCCGGATGTGGGATTTGATCCCAGGACTCCAAGATCAAGCCCTGAGCCAAAGGCAGATGCTCAACCTCTGAGCCACCCAGGTGTCCCAATGAGCTGGTTTAATAGAAAGTGAAGCTTTTAATCATATTCATGGCCCTTGCCTTTACTTCTAACTGTATGAGGTACATTGTCCTCTAATTCCTAAGCCAGCATTCTACCTTCATCTTATATTAAGACTTGTGAGCAGATAATCCAACAATATAAGCAACAAAGCATGAAGACTGAGAGATTATGAGCAAGAGGTTGGTGTTGCAATCAAATAATTTAACTTGACATATTTAATGATGTGAATAATCCCTAATCCTTTGCCATAATTAGACAAAGTGATAGTATGTAAATTACTCCATTGAGTAGTTTTACAAGTCAAGCTAAGTTCCTATTCTCCCCTCCATTTTTCTTGCCTTGTTACTAAAAAAAAAGGGAGGTTCTAGCCCATCCTCTGTCACTTCAGTAGTGGGGATTTTTAGATACCTCTCCCACATGCACCAGGAAATAAAATGGTTTTATCTTAAATAAAGTAATAAAATGTGCTCTTCTTTCAAAGAATAGTGTGTGGTTTTGCAGCTGGCCAGCTGAGGAAGCATTAATAACAGACTTATTTCAGTCTGAGAATCAACTGTTTTAGACTGCTTCCTAAAGAAAGAACTTAGAACAATTATAAAGTTTTTCTGTGTCTAGAACATTTCAGCTAGAACAGAAAAGATAGGTGCAAAGTGATAAATAGCAAAAGAAGGACTGGGGCAGCCCGGATGGCTCAGCGGTTTGGCACTGCTTTCAGTCCAGGGTGCGATCCTGGAGGCCCGGGATCGAGTCCCACATCGGGCTTCCTGCATGGAGCCTGCTTCTCCCTCTGCCTGTGTTTCTGCTTCTCTCTCTCTCTCTCTCTCTCTCTCTCTCTCTGTGTATGTGTGTCTTCATGAGTAAATAAATAAAATCTAAAAAAAAAAAAAAAAAGGCAATAGAAGGACTGCCCAATCCCAGAGGTAAATAACTAGAAAAACAAACATAATCAAGTAGAAAGAAGAAATAGAATTTCAAAGAAAATGTGATCTGATACTAGCCTTGATACCAGGCCTGTCTTGGGTGACCATAAGGCAAGTAGATCTCACCTGCCTACCAGAGTCTTAAAAGTTCATATAGAATAGAGGCCTCAACTGGGTTCAGTTATACCATCCAGATGGTCTCAACAACACCTTACTCACTCAGGGCTATGTTCTTGGAACAGCTCCCAGTTTGGAAATGGTGAGCAGAGTATATATTCCAAAGACAGGGAAGTGGGTGAGGATCCTCCAATTGCCAGAGTCCAGCTCGAAGGTCAACTGATGGTCATGTTCTCTCAGTTACCTTCTCCAACAGTACCTGAGATTGGAAATCAAAAGATACGTTGTTACTTACAGACCAAGATTTTTGAAGATCATGTTTGTCAAGAATAAAAAAAATTGAAATTGTGGGTTTCTGGATCATTTACTGGTCATAAGTCCTTTAACCAATTGAGTCTTATTAGAACTACCATAAAAAAAGGCTGTATAGCCATTGGAGGGGAGAGGTGTTTCCTTTCACTAGAATGTTTTCTCTCATCCCTTTTGATGTCAGGGAATGAAGTCATTAATCTAGATGAAGAAACTGGTGAAATGACATATATCAACGTTTTTCACTCCTTCGTCTGGCAGAACAGCCCTGATTTTGGTCCTCCTGAGTTCTACTTTTTAGTGTAAAGTTATCAGTTTCCAAAGATATTTGAAGCCACACTCATTTTCCTCTAGCCAGTTATTTCATCCCTATTCCTTCTTTCCAAACCTACTGTTACCAGACTTTTATCACCTAAAGCCATTTAGCATCATCATTTCCTAGTACCTATTGGAATTCCTGGCACATAGTAGAGCTTGATAAATAGTTGTTGAGTTAATGACCCTATATGCTCTTCCCACCATTAAACTTTTCCAAATACTCCACCAAAATAGGGGTTCCTCTTTTCTACATGCCCATTGCTCTTATTGCCTCTTGAATTTGCACAGTTGTTCCCATTTTGTGCAGTTCTTTTTTTGTACACTGTCCTGCCTGTTCTCTGTCTTGTGTGTAATTTCCTGGTTTTGAGTCTATGCTCCCCAAATGGATGCTTTAAAATTTTCTTGTGTCCTCCACACCTTTGAGTAATTGCCAGCCCAGTGCTCCCCACAACACCTAGCAAATGCTTGCTGCTTCAAATCTGTGGAGGCTGGTGATGGATATTTAAGCGAGAAACTACTCATCCATCTTAATTCAGCACTTGCACTGCTTGTTCTTTAATTGCACATCATCACTTGATTCAAAAGCAGTGATTATTCATTCATGGAGCATTTACTGGGCTTTCTCTATGAGTAAGTCACTTTGCTAGGTGCTCTAGGGGATATACAAAGATGTATAAGACACCTCCTGATTTCTATAGCAATTACTGGTATACAATTCATTCAGCAATTAATCATGTACTGTCTTGTGATGTCTCTTAGACTGGCTAAAAAGTATTGTGTAAATCCTATGCAGTTTGACTTTCCACTTATTAATGTCTTCCTTGGTTCACTCAGCAAATAGTTTGTCTATGATGTGATGGACGCTATTCCAGCAGCTGGGACAGATACAAAGATGAAAAAATGATAGTCCTTGCCATCATAAAAGGTCAGAGTGTAGTATAGAAGAGGAGGTGAAGGGTGGTAACTGTGACATAACATACTGAATGCTTTTGGAATCCCAAAGAAGGGATACTCAACTTCCTGAGGGGGTCATGCAAGGTTTCACTGAAGAGGTGATAATTCAATTAGGCCTGGAAGGAGAGTATCTAATGGTCATCCACTTTCTTGCATTCTAGGCAAAGGCACACAAGTATAAAAAAAACATGGTATATTTGGGAAATATAGTGATGAAGCCAGGACATAGAGATTGGTGAGAGGTAAAGTCAGAGTCTAATCGGGCTGTCCTTCAGCAAGAAACTTTCCCCCCTGGTTGCATACGTAGCACATGGTCATTGTAAAAAACATCCAAATACTTACAGGCATGTACAAAGAAGAAACTTACTTGGTGTTAATGGTTTGCATCATAATTTTTCAGATTGTTTTCTATGGGCAGACTAAAATGATATTTAAAATGGGATTATATTCCAGGCACCTGGTGGCCCCGTCGGTTAAGCATCTGACTTTCGATTTCAGCTCAGGTCATGTCTCAGGGTCTTGAGATCAAGTCCTGCATCCGGCTCCATGCTCAGCACAGAGTTTGCTTCAGATTCTCTCCCTCTGCCCCTCCCCCCACTCATGCTCACTTGCTCTCAAAATAAATAAAAATCTTTTAAAAAATAAAATGGGACTATATTCTATTTTTGTCAACTTTTTTTTCATTTAAAAGTATCTCTTGGGATGCCGGTGGACAGTTTTAAGTGTCTGACTCTTGGTTTTGGATCAGGTCCTGATGTCAAGGTCCTGAGATCCTGCCCCACATTGGGCTCCATGCTTAGCACAGAATCTGCTTCAGATTCTCTCTCCCTCTGGGCCTCCTGCTTGTGCCTGCACACTCTCACTCTCAAATCAATGTATCTTTTTTTAAAAAGTGTTTCTTAATATCATTGCATGCCAGTATATGCAGGTCTATTTCATTTTAAAAAATGGTTGTACAGATGGAGGTCCATCAGTAGTAAGAAACATTGATTTTGGAACCAGACTGCTTGGGACTGTTCTTTTAGCAAGCCACTTAACCTCTCTGTGCTCCAGTTATCATACCTGTAAAATGAACATACCGATAGGACCTGTTGCATAAGGCTTTTGTGAGCATTAAATGAGTCAGATGTAAAGGGCTCAGAATAGTGCTTGTCAGATGAAAATCTTAGCTCTGATTCCATGATTTATTTAAACAAAATTCAAGGAGCATTAAAAAAAATATTTTTTTAAAGATTTATTTATTTTAGAGAGAGAGAGAGAGAGAGAGAGAGCACCAGCAGGGGGAGGGGGAGAGAATCTCCAGCTGTACTCTCACCCCGGTGAGGAGCTAGAGGCAGATTTGATCCTACCACCTTGAGATCATGACCTCCGCTGAAATGAACAGTAGGATGCTTACCCAACTGAACCACCCGGCCACCCCTTAGGGAGTGTTTTAAGCTAGAAAGTGATATAATCAGGTTTCCTTCTAGAAAGATCACTCTGGCATCTGTTGGGAGGGAAGATTGGTGACAGGGATCCTGTCAAGACTGTTGCAGTATGCAGTGGGGCGGCGATTGGCTGTTATTGGCAGAAGAAAGAGAGGAAAAATAAAATTTCGAGACATTTCTAGGAGACCAAATGCTACCACTTGTTGATTGCAGACGGTTGAAGCCGACCGTTCGACCAGAAGTTCCAGCTTTTTGGCTTGCAGGACTGTGTAGATGGTGGTGCCGTATTCACACGACAAGCATTTTTTCAAGGTCCTACTACGGGGCCTGGCACTGCTCGAGGCACAGGAAATAACGGCGGCGCACAGGCTCTCTGCTTGGGACCGGAGCTGATCCCAGGAGGTGTTTGTGCCCGCGCACAGGACGCCAACAACGCAAGCGAACAGAGAGACACATGAATGAGAGTTTCAGCAAGACCGAGCAGTAGGGGCCCGGTAAGCAGTGAAGGGACTCTGCGGCGCTCCTCCACCTCTGTGGGGATCCGGCATCTCCCGTGACGATGAGAGGATGAGAGGAGCGCGGGTTCGGTCACGGCGGCAGGCCAGAGCCTGCAGAGGGATATCGGATCTGATCCCTTGGGCCCCGGGAGCCGCAGGTCACAGCGCCTTCACAGCTGGGGAGAACGAGGCCAGGAAAACGTAAACGTTTTGGCCAAGGTCACACAGCTGGCGGCCCGCAGAGCGCGGGTCAGGCCCCCGCGGGGGCTCCAGGCCGAGGCCGCGGGCGCGCACCGCCGCCGCTCCCGAGGCCCAGGGCGGGCTGGCCCGGAGGCCCCCGCGGGCAGGGCGGCCGGCCGGGCGGGCAGGGCGGGCAGGGCGGGCAGGGCGGCCGGGCCGGCGGCGCGCGGGGAGCCCGCAGCAGGGCCCTGGGCGGCCGCGGGACGCCCTCCCGGGCGGGGCGCCGGCGGCGGTTGCGGCCCCGCGTCGCGAGGCACTTCCGGCGTGTGCCGGGGTGGCCGGATGACGTGGCTGAGTCAGAGGAAGAGGCTGAGGCGCCGGGGGGCGGGGGAGGCTTGGGAGCGGGCGGTGACGGCGGCGGCGCGGACGAGCCAGCGGCTGGGCCCGGGCCCCGTGCGTCTGTCCGCGCCCCGTGGATGCGAATCGGCCGCGGCGGCGGCGGCGGCGGCGGCGGCGGCGGCGGAGGAGGAGGAGGAGGAGGCGGAGGAGGAGTCGGTGGGCCGGCGCCGGGCCGGTGGGAGCGCGGAGGATGAGGCCGCTGCCGGGCGCTCCCGGCGTGGCGGCGGCCGCCGCGCTGTTGCTGCTGGTGCTGCCCCGGGCCCGGGCGGACGAGCACGAGCACACGGTGAGAGGCGTCCCCGGCCGGCGCGGCAGCCCCCGGCCCGCAGCCCGGCCCGCCGCCCGGTGCGGCTCGGCGCGGCCTGCAGGGTCCCCGCGGCCGCCGAGAGCGCCTTCCGGTTGGGCCTGGCGGAGCAGGAACCCCGGGAGCTGGGAGGAGGCGTCTGTGTGCGCTGTCCGGGCCGGACTCGGCTCCCGAGCGCCTGGGCCTCCCGGCCCGACCCGCGCCGAAATGGCGCCACGCTCCGGGGGCGAGGCGGCCCGAGGGGAGCGGGGCGAGGGGCTGGCCCCCGGGAAGGGAGCGGGGCTACGCCGCGGCGGAGGATGGATGCACCACGATTACCCGTCGCACACTGACCAGGAAATAGCCGCCACTTCTGGGTCCTCCCCGGCCTTTATTTTTCCTCCTGCCCAAACCGGATCAAAACCCTGGCGTGGGAGCAGCACTGACGGACTTGGGGTGAAGAGCGGGTTACACGTGTCCACGCACGCGCTCGGTCCTGGGCCTTCCTTGTAACTTTGTGCGCACCCTCCAGCCCCTGAGTGAGGCGCCCGTCCCGGGGGTCTCCCGGCGGCTCCTGGCCGCAGGGGCCCCGAGCTTCCCAGTCTTCCTGTAGGCCAGGAACAGTTCATTTTGCGTTTGGCTTAAAATAGATTGGCCGCTTATTTAATTGGCGTTTTCACGTCAAAGTGTGGATGTTAACGACTCTCAGGTGACTTTCACTTGGGGCTGTAACTCATGGTTTTCGGAGTGGTGGGTGTGAGTGAGCCAGGCAGGGAAGTCTTGTAAATTGAGATGTCGCTTATCGAGTGGGGTGGGTGTGTGTGTGTGTGTGTGTGTGTGTGTGTGTGCGTGTGTGTGCGTGTGTGCGCGCGCTTTAATACTGTAACTCATTAACCACATGATTTTGCGTGAGAGATGGTGTATGTACTAGATCTGGAAAATTCGGGGGAGTCTTGTGTCATTCCTGGTAAGTGAGGAAGTGAAGTGATCATCCTCATTTACTCAGTGGACCCTACTTTAGATTTAATTTGTAACTAATCAGACCTCTTTTCTCTAGTTCCTTGGGTTGGCTGGGCTTTTAGTTTAGCTAATGAACGCTCTAAGCTTTTGACTATTTTACCTTTGGTCACAGCCAAAAACTTCTTTTTGAGACACGAATCTGAAATCAGTGATGTGTTTTTATGCTATATCTGTGACTTCACCTTAAGATGATTTTGTTCACAGTGGAAACGGTTTGATTAAAAAAAGGCTTCGTATTGTTTTCTCTGTCAGGTCAAATCTCAGAGTGTAAGAACTGTTCATTTGCAGTGGGAATCCCTTTAGTCAGTTGTATTGTCTCTAGTATTTTTTGCAGTTTTTTGAACACTTCGGGAAAGTTACCAAATAAAGCTCATCACAACTTTCTCTTACCTAAAACTCCACTATACAGGCATACAAATTTAAGATTAGTGTTCTCCTTTTTGATCTTGTGCTTTATATAAACTGCTACGAATAGGGAAAACTATTAATTACTATTTCACAAATTGTAGGTATATAAAAAGGCCTGAGTTTAATTTATAGATGTATGATGTAAATATAGATTTCACTGCAATTTTATTGCGGGGAACATTTCAGGTTTTTATACCAGTAATTGAATTTAAAATACATGAGAAAAGCTTTTTGAGAGCGTATAGTACGTGTAAGATAATTGCTGGGCACAGAGATATAGAATCCACTTCACTTTATTCATGAACTGGTCTCTCACATGGTTACCTGTTATTAATATACATTATCTAAAAAGCAAAAAAGGTTCTAGGAAGAATAACATTAAGCTATAAGTATAAAATTTAAGTAAATGTCTTTTTTTTGGCTATTAGAATTTCTATTTTTCCCAAGTTTCTTGAAAATATTTCTTGAAAACTGGGCATTCACCTTAGTCAGATAAAGGTATTGAAAAGTTATCATCAAGTGAATTTTTTTCCCATCAAGAGGGCAGAAGTAGCTAGTGAAGAGAGAATGAGATTGAAGAAGGAGAAAAATTGCCAAGGAAAGGTTGTTGAGTAGGTGTGCAATAAAAACTTGTGGGATTGAATTATTAATTAAAGAGCCATTTTCAGAAGTTAGTTTGCCCTTTAGATTAACTTTCTGTGAAGGCAGTTTCCAGCTAGAAATAATAACTAATAGGATTTTTGTTGGCCGCGTGTGCTAGACACTGTTCAAAAACTTTACTTACTTACTTACTTACTTACTTACTTACTTATTTATTTATTTATTTATTTATTTATTTATTTATTTATTTATTTATTTATTTATTTATTTATTTATTTATGATAGTCACAGAGAGAGAGAGAGAGGCAGAGACACAGGCAGAGGGAGAAGCAGGCTCCATGCACCGGGAGCTCCAGGATCGCGCCCTGGGCCAAAGGCAGGCGCCAAACCGTTACGCCACCCAGGGATCCCAAACTTTACATATATATTAACTCTTGTTTTAGATGTAAATAACCTTGTGAGGGAAATAATATTATACCCTTTTTATAGATGGGGAAACCAACGCTAGAGGGGTTATTTGTCTAAGGCCACATGGCCAGTGGGAATGCAGGTGGGATTTGAGCTCAGTCTGAATTAATGCAGCCCTTTATCCTAAAAATAGGACAGTAAAATACTTGGTATTAAATTGTATTGATATTATTTTGTATTGATATTATTAATAGTATTTTGTATTGATATTATTTTTAAGTGCTTAAAGAAATTTTTGGGTAAGCCTTAACTCCATAATGGGTTGCTACAGAGATGGTTTAGCAGTAAAGACGGATAGGGCCCACTTAATAGTGCAGTCACACTATTAAGGTGACTACTAGGGACCTGCGCAGTCACATAATATGAGCAGGCATGTGGATACTATGCTTGCTTTGTTGCTCTGCTGTCACCAGCTAGAAATTTTCTATATATATGTATATATATATATATATATATATATATATTTTTTTTTTTTTTTAAGTAATCTCTACATCCATTGTGAGGCTCAGTCTTAGGACCCTGAGATCAAGTCGCATACTCCACTGATTGAACCACCAGGCACCCCTTAATAAAATTTGAACAAGGAGACCTGCATTTTTATTTTGCACTGGGTCCCACAAATTGTGTACCTGGTCTTAAAAAGGGATAACTAGTTCATCTAGTTTCACAAAGCCCGTTATTTCTCTTATTTTACCTACTGAATTAGGATTCAGCTGACCATTTGACATGGTATTTTGTATGCACTTATTTATGCAGAACTTTTAATATTTTCATAAGGATGATGAGAAGGAAACATGCTGTTGACTTCTGGAATATATACACATCTAGCATATATAAAGATGTATCCTTCCACTTTTCTAAAGTTAAATCATACATAGATTGTAGGATATACCGTTTGGAATAAAAAAATAACACTTTCATGAAAAGACAAGACCTTAATATGTGATTAAGGGTCATAAAAAGGACTTTTTTAGGGTGAGTGAAGGGTATAGAAGGTGTGGTTTATGCTTATTTGGTTTTCTGAAACTCAGAGAACTTGGAAACATCTATAGTTAGATTGCCATGTCTCCCAAGATTCCAAAGGACTCTGTTAGAAAGATTTCAAATTGAGAATCAGAATTTTAGAACTGGGAAGACTTGAGATCATTTAATCCAACACATTCATTTTCCTAATAGCCTGAAGAGGCCTAGTGACTCTCTAGTCCTTTTTTTTTCCCTACTGTCTTGTAGGTATAATTTCCATAGTAATACTATGTAAAGATGTCAGCACCAAAAACCAATAATGAAGGGCACCAGAATCTTAATGCATTTTATGGTTTGTACTGTAGCCTTGAAGTTTTATGGGTTCTGTTTCCTCAGGATCACAAAGTCAATTTTTTTTGTCTCTTAACATGCCTACGTTCGGTGCTTAGTACAGTGGTATTTAATCAGTGCTTGTTGAGTGACTTGAGTAATTAGGGAGCTACTAGGGACAAGAATATGCAGTGTTAGAAGCGTGAAACCCTATTGCTTAAAGCACAGTAAACAAATCCAGACCATTGTTCACTTAAGATACAGAGTCTTTGGGATGCCTATTGTGATTTAGGGCCCTAATTAGGCTAAATCCCATTTCTTTGTGGCCCATTGTACCTCTGCTAGGTAATGTCAGAAGGACCTGATCTGTGCCTGGAGTAGCCTGCACTCAGTCTCTACTATAGACAGTTATACCATTGAGTGATTTCAGGAATAGTTTGTTTGCTTTCCTTTGGCAAATAGCAGCTTTTGTCTTTGTCTCTGTTGGGAGTATAGGAACTCTTAAAACTTACTTGAAGATTTATAAAGAGAATAAACTCTTTACTACAGGTGAATTTGTGAGTACTTTAATATAGATCAGTTTTAGGAAATGCTATAATTCGTTGTCCTATTTTCAGCTGTACTCTATGGTAGACTAAAAGTTTATTTAGGTACAAGGCTATTTTGAGAGAGGGAGAGAAGGGGGAAAGAGAGCATGGTTATCTCAATAGACTATCCAAAAATATACTTCTATATTTTGTAATTTGTATTAAAATTATGTTGTTTTAAACAAAAGATTGAAATGATGATTTCTGAAACACTTTCAGGACTAGATTTTACTCTCTCAGATATGTATTTTAAAACAAACATGTGTCTTTTACCTCATCACATGAAGGTGGTAGCATTTGAATGCTTATTCTGAGCCCTTGGTCCTTTGCCTGTGAATATAAATTCTCATTTCTTTATTCAGATTTTACATGAGTACAACAGTAACACTATCTCCTAAAGTATTCTTCCTGAGAAAAAACAATTCATGATCTCTATCAAGAAGGGAAATTTCTGTGTCTCCCTTTTCTCAGCACATAAACAGTATTTAAGTAAGAGAGGCCTAACATTGGTGACATCCTGAGAATAAAGGTCATGCTTTTAGAAATTAGAACACAAGCAGCTTCTTAGGAAGGATTTTTCTTTAGGGTAGATTAAAGGTTCAGATGGAAAAGTTGTTCGGTATCCAGTACTGTTGTCAGTTGCTTTGTACAACTGTCCTTTTTTCATATTTTCTTCATTTAATTTTTGCTCTTTAATGAAGCCAACTAGCCATTAGCAAAAGTTTAGTCCTGAGTTTGTAAGCTTGATACTAATTAGTTGCATGATCTTGGACAAGTTATTTAACATCTCTGTTCTTTAGTTTGTTTATTTTAATGTGTAAAATGGGGAATAATAAGACCTAATAAAATTTTGAAAGGATTAAATATTCATGCAAAGTCCATAGAACTATGCCTAGCACGTAGTGTGTGCTTATTGTTAGCTGATAATACTGTTGGAAAAAATGGTGAGATCATGTTAGGGATTGGTCTGTTATGGCTTTGCCTGAGGACTGGAGGGTTTGAGAAAGGAGGATTTGAGTAGCTTTACAGGATTAGCTAAGTGGTGAGGAAGGCATTATAGATTTGAGGGATGGTATGAGAAACAAGGTGGAAAAGGAAAGGAAGGGAAGGTACTATAAGACCATTTTGACTGGAGTGGACAGCCCAGAAATTCAGGGTAACAGTGAAACTCTTCTGAGAACTGGAAAATGAGTAGAATGGTGAGGTCTTTACCTCCTTTCATTTGGCTACTTTGCAGAAAGACTTCATGGAAGGAGCTACGGCCTTGCTCAGGGATCCCCTGATCCACTGATGTGCTTCCTTTACTTTTTTCCTCCCCTTCTTCTCGTTATACTCTACAGGTAGGTTATAAAACTTCGTCTTTCTCAGTGTCATTGGCCAACTCAAGAGTTTTTCCAAGGAAAGGGTTTATTTATTTTATAAAGTTTTTATTTATTTATATATTTATGAGAGACACACAGAAGCAGAAACTTAGGTAGAGGGAGAACCCTGCTCTATGCAGGGAGCCTGACACGGGACTTGATCCCAGGACCCCGGGACCACGCCCTGAGCCAAAGACCAGACGCTCAACCACTGAGTCACCCAGCTGTCCCTCCAAGGAAAGGATTTAAAAAGAGCTTGCTAGGACTTCGTGGAATGTTTTGAATGTGATGTATACCTTTTTAGCCATAGGTAGAGAGAGGAGCCTTACCTGTTGCCCTCTTCCAGCAGACTGGTGGAGGTCAAAGACTTTCTCTACAGCTTTAGGGAAAGGTTTCTTTCTCTTTAAAAAGTTGTGTGAAGTCTTTCTTTTGATATTTTCTAATTTCAAAACATTTTTTTTAAAGATTTTATTTATTCACGAGGGACACACACACACACACAGAGAGAGAGAGAGAGAGAGAGAGAGAGAGAGAGAGAGAGGCAGAGACACAGGCAGAGGGAGAAGCAGGCTCCATGCTGGGAGCCTGATGTGGGACTCGATCCTGGGTCTCTAGGATCACGCCCTGGGCAGAAGGCGGCGCTAAACCGCTGGGCCACCAAGGCTGCCCTAATTTCAAGACATTTTTTTTTAAAGATTTATTTATTTATGATAGACATAGAGAGAGAGAGGGCAGAGACACAGGAGGAGGGAGAAGCAGGCCCATACCGGGAGCCTGACGCGGGACTTGATCCCGGGACTCCAGGATCGCGCCCTGGTACAAAGGCAGACGCCAAACCGCTGAGCCACCCAGGGATCCCCAATTTCAAGACATTTTTAAGACACATTTTCTCTCTTGAAAAAGAACTCTTGGGAGCACTTACTCTTAAGGGATAATCAAGAACTGCAATGAAAAGTAACATTTTAGGTTCATTATATTGACCATGGTTTGCATAAGGGAGTGATGTAAAAGAAAAGAAGCATTTTTACCTTAATATTCACCCTAATTACACCCTCCATATGTGTATGTGTAGTTATATGTATGAAGGTGTGTGTATATTACCTATGCATATTTCTGATTATTATTTCAGTCCTCTTTCCAGGACTCTGGGGCTACAGAATGGTGTAGGTTTTGTGACTGCACTTTCCATCGTATCATCACAAACCGATTGCTCTGTTCAGGTTTCATGAATGGTTAAAATAAGTGACTTCAGAATGTGTAGTTTAATGTAAACTGTGACCCTTCGGTTATTTTAGCCTTGGTTTGTATGAAATAAATGAATGCCCTATTTTAACAAGTATTTATGTTCAAGTTTTTGTCTACTTTTAAAGTAATTATGAGTATTGGAATTTATAGAAAGTGTTTTTGTGCTTATTTTTACAAGTAACATTTAAACATTGCTGCAGACTTAGCACGATTAATGACAAGGTCCTCATTGATAGATCCTCTTGTTCAGCATTCTCATCTTAAGTGCATGTATTTTGTTACCTCCCCTTTTTTCTCTCAAAGGCTACTATTGCAATCAGTGCACATATTAGCCAGTACACATACCTCAAGCTTTGTCTTTTTTAGTAAGTTCCTAATGAACTTTACATGTCAGCATTTTCCGGTGTTTTCCCATCATATTTATTAATGACTTTTTGTGTACAGAGAGTTTTCTGCCTAACAGGCAGGTTTCATTTCTAATACCAACGTTCGTCAGTTGATACTTGATTGGTTTAGCTCACTGCTTTGAGAATTCTTATGGTATATCCATCTCTGTATATTTAGCAGAAAGGGGTACCTTTATTAATTAGTGCTATGTGACCATGAACATTGAATGGAAGAGTGGTGGCACATATAGCTTTCTGTCAGCTGAATAGAGATGTATAGATATATTCAGACCTTTGATTAATTCCTTCATACATGAAGATTATCAACTGTTTTTCTGAATTCACTTGAAACAGCTTATGATTTCCTATATTGTTATTCATTCTGACTCTTCTCTGCCAAGGCAGAACTAATCATTGCTTTACTGTTGCTACAATAGCCCTTTATTACCTTAATTTTAACACTTATTTTTTTCATCATTAATCATTTATTTGTCTGGCTCCATTATGGATTGTGAACTTCTTAAGGGAAAAGACAGCATTTTAATTATTTGTGCATTGACCCTTGAACAACATGAGTTTGAACTGCATAGGTCCATTTACATGCAGAATTTTTTCCCCCATAAGTACAGTACAGTATGATAAAATGTATTTTCCTTAACATTTTCTCTAACGTACTTTGTTGTAAGAATATAGCATATAATATATATAACATACAAAATATGTTAATCAACTGTTTATGTTGCTGATAAGGCTTCTGGTCAACAGTAGGCTATTAGTAAAGTTTTTGGAGAGTCAAAAATTACATATTGATTTTTGACTGCAGGGTGGGTTGGTAACCCTAACCCTGCATTGTTCAAGGGTCAACTGTGTATCCTTAACACCTAACATTGTGCTTGGTATTTGTCTCATATACTCAAAAAGTAAGATAGTTTGTTATTTTCTTAATGACCTGGGTGATGTCTTATTTGAGCAGTGAGATATTTATCTTATTTGAAGATGAGGTAATGCTCTTAGGGTGCCAGTGGTGTGAATCAATAGGAAGAGGTAGATGCTTTGAGTAGAAGTAGACAAGTCAAAGTTTTTGAGAATACAGAGGGACTTGGGGTTTGAGTCTCCTGAGAGAATGGTGGTACCATTAGAAAAACAAAGATGAAAGGCTAGATTTGGGTGGGATGAGTAATGTTTTTGGAGAGGTTGGATTTTTTTTTTTAAGATTTTATTTATTTATTCTTGAGAGGGGGGGGGGCAGAGACACAGGCAGAGGGAGAAGCAGGCTCCATGCAGGAAGCCTGACGTGGGACTCGATCCTGTGTCTCCAGGATCACGCCCTGGGCGGAAGGTGGCGCTAAACCACTGAGCCACCTGGGCTGCCCGGAGAGGTTGGATTTTGATAAGTGTTTGTATATTAGTTTTAGATGGAGAACTGAAGGTAGGAATTTGGTAGTTTTGGTTAGTTGGATAGCTTCCTTTGTTATATGCTCCATAGCACCTTACTTTATTATAATTGTTAGTTCAGTATCCATCTTTCCCTTTAGGCTCTGAGCTCCAATAGGGAAGGGAACATGTTTGTATCCTCAGTTACAAACATAATTATTGGCATATGGCAGGCACTCCGTAAATAATTGTTCAGTGATTTAACTTCTGCACTAGTAGTTGACTTAAATTGTATCCAATGGTCTCTTCAATTTATGTTGCTAATTAGGATTACTAGTTTTAAAATTATTTGGGTAATTACTTTTCATAGAATCATTGGAATTTTAAACTTGAGATCTTAGAAATCTTTGGCATGCTGGAAAGGTGAAGTCACCTAACCAAAGTCATTGGACCACACTCCAGATTTAACTACATACAGTATTTACTGAAGGGGAGAGCCAGTTATTTTTTCAAAGAAATATGTATACAGTGCATGTCTTTCAGGCTAATAAAAGGGGGGAAGATAGAATGATGGCTTGAATGGACTGTGAAGATTTCATAGTATGGCTTTCTCTTGTTTAGTCATTTCTCTCCTGTCTAGTCCTTTGCAATGGCCATGGAAAAGATTAGACAGGAGATGAACTTTTATTTGCCCGTGCTGGCAACACTAGATTTTTTAGTTTTTAATGATTACCATGAGGTTCTAGATAAGCTATTGATTTTCTTTCCTCCTTCCATTTCCATATTAGCATGGTGAATAATGTTGGTTCTGGGTTCATAATTATTTGATGTGCTATTGGACTTTGTTTAAACAATACCTTTGGTAAATTAAGCTTAAGAAAAGGTGGATCTGTTTGAGACCACAATCAGAAGATACAATTTTAAAATTCACCAAGTGTTGGGGTGTCTGTTATGTGTCTGACTCTTGATCTCAGGGTCTTGATTTCTAATTTTGACTTCATTGCCTATAAGCATAAAAATCACCGAGTGTCTTTTTTAAGATGTGGACATTGATCATCGGATTAAAATAGATTTCCAGTATTTTATTTTATAGTTTCTCAGACAATACACTATTGTTTAGCACAAATAACAAATATTTCCTTAATTTGAAGTAAGTTTTTAAAAAAACATATTATGATTTGCTTTTCTGTCTCAGTATCAAGATAAAGAAGAAGTTGTCTTGTGGATGAATACTGTTGGGCCCTACCATAATCGCCAAGAAACATATAAGTACTTTTCACTTCCATTCTGTGTGGGGTCAAAAAAAAGTATCAGTCATTACCATGAAACTCTGGGAGAAGCACTTCAAGGAGTTGAATTGGAATTTAGTGGCCTGGATATTAAATTCAAAGGTAAGTAAACCTTAATAGTCCATATAATACAAGTTAGATTGTAGATCAGGGTTTCTCAAGCTTGGCACTATCGACATTGGGACCATATGATTCTTCTTTGTGGGAGGCCATGATGTAGATTGTAGGATATTTAGCAGAGTTTTGGCCTCCACCCAGTAGATGCCAGTAGCACCCTCCAGTTATTAAAACCAAAACTATCTTCAGACATTGCTGATTGGTCCTAGAGAATCATGGCTTTAGATGAAAAAAAAAAAGTTTTAATCTACAACTTAAGTGAATTGTATTTAGAAAAGTATGTTAGTAATAAAGAATTATTTTGAATATTTGTGAAATAATAAAATAAATAATTGTTAATAAAACTCTACTTCCTCTAACCTATTTCTTTCTGAAAAGTCATTTCTAGTAAACCTTCTATGATTGATATATATGGTTGGGGAAGACCTTCATAGATTCATAAATTCTGGAGATGCAGGTGGATAGATAGTATATGGATAGATACTTAAAAATTTTGTGTAAAGCCTCAGATCCACACTTGTACCACTGGCTTGGAGTGTATTAATCAGTGTGCATTAATTTACTCTCTCAATTCCTAGAAGATAGTGTGGTTTTAAATTTTTTTAAGTCAAAGACTTGTCAAAATTGAAAAAAATCCTGATCAATTTATTATGTTGGTATGTATTTTATCAGGCCCTGTAACTGTGTTTAAACTTTTAATTTTCCTCTGTGAAGTTTGCCAGAGAGTGTATTTCCTGCATAGACATTTTTAACTCAGTGAGCAGAAGCCTGAGTAATTGAATTTTTACAGGATCTTTGATTAGGCATCTTGATTTTTGAATAGAACTTGGATCTTGTAATCAGGAGCTTTGAATTTTAATCCTGTTTCTTTTACTATATTGATTTTACTGAAGTTCTTTAATTTTGACTTCATTGTCTATAAGCGTAAAATGAATAGTAACTGACTTCTGGTATTTTTGTACTTTTGAGAGGAGGATGTGAATTGAGATATTTTATTTATTTTTTCTTAAAAAGATTTTATTTATTTATTTGAGAGAGAACATGCCATCCAGAGAGAGAGAGCATGAGTGGGGATAGGGCCTGAGGGAGAGGGAGAAGCAGACTTTCTACTGAGCAGAGAGCCGGACATGAGACTTGATCCTGAGACCTCAGGACCATGACCTGAGCCAAAGGCAGACATGTATATAACCGACTGAGCCAACCAGACACCCTGAATTGAGATATTTTAAAATAATATATTAAAGATAATGCTTAATTTTGCTTGGTTAAATTTTATTCTTGTTTTTATAGTATTTTTTGTTACTATTATGGAAAATCAATATATATTTTTGCATTCTTCTCCCCTGCTCTGCTTCACCACTATATTCTTTGAGGCTTAATTATAAAATTAAGTTGTGACTTTAAACCACAGTGGCCTGGCCTGTAACTTTATAAATTATTATAAACATGCCCTGAGGCTTGTGTTTTAATTTAATCAGGTAACCTAAATATTTAATTGCAAGTAAGAGGAAAGCTTAGATTAGTGTGTAGGATCTTTGAGAACCTCAATCCTATGTTTATTCACATAACTTTCTCCTTTTTCATGTGTGGTACACATTTCTAGTTTACTAAAGAGGAACCAGAGAGAGCGAATAGGCAAAAACTCTGAGTCCTACTGTGGACAGATTTCATCACTTTTTGAAATCCTCGCCCTGTTTACTAAAGAAGAGTAATCATTCAGCTGTCTTCAACTTTTTTTTATTAGTTGAGGCTGAAATGGAAAGATTGTTTAGATAGAGGGAAAGAGTTTTCATAGGCTATAAAAGTTTATTTTACTTTCTGACTGAGCAACATTAGATGAAAAGAACAAGAGCTGGCCAGGTGTTATTCCCCAAGAGTTGGCGGTTCTTCGGAGTCTTGTTAGCGCTATACCTCCAACACAGATATGCTGCTAAGGGAGCGGCTAAATTAAGTGGTCCAGATGAAAAAGTAAATGCTGATTACATTTCTCTTTCTGCTGTAGTGCCTTGCTTGCCCTGTTCAGAGGCATAGTTGGTAATGCTTTGAAAAATGTTTTATGAGGTTTTCTGGTTATTTATACTATCATAGAATTTTAAAGGTTGGATGCACCTTAGATATTGTGTCATTTGACTTCCCCTTAGTGAGGCCCAGAGATGAAATGATTTGCCCAAGGCATATCACAGCATACTGATGATGCCATGGAAACTATAATCTTCTGTCCCTGTGTGAATTATAGAAATATTTATATTATTAATCTTTTAATCTCTTGTGTATTTAATTTTTAAAGGTTCTTCTGAAGGCATAAGAAAGCAACATTTTGGAAATATTTTTAAACTAGAAAAAAATATATACACACACATACATACGCACATGTGCACATAGATATACACACACACCTTTTTAAAAATTTAGTAGGTTCTGTCAGGCTAAATGGATTGGTATTTCATGAAATGAAGGTCACTAAATATATTTTTAGGGAACTAATAATAGTATGTATGTATGTATGTATGTATGTATTTATTTATGATAGACACAGAGAGAGAGAGGCAGAGACACAGGCAAAGGGAGAAGCAGGCTCCGTGCCGGGAGCCCGATGCGGGACTCGATCCCGGGACTCCAGGATTGCGCCCTGGGCCAAAGGCAGGCGCCAAACTGCTGAGCCACCCAGGGATCACCGGAACTAGTAATAGTTTTTTATTTTTTATTTTTTATTTATTTTTATTTTTATTATTTATTTTATTTTTATTTTTTTTATTTTTTTATTTTTTATTTTATTTTTTATAGTAATAGTCTTAAGTCTAATGTAGGATGCCTCTTACTTGAGATTTTACATACAAATTTTTTTCCCCGTAATGTTATATACTACCACTAGACAAAATACTAAATTGAGAACATTTAGGGAAAATAAAAAGAGAAGGACAGAATTAAATGGGATATCTTTGAACCAGGCCTGAATTCATTATCCTGTGATTTTAGAGGGTACCTCTTGGAACCTTACTGTTGTGGAAAAAAGCACAGCAAGAGACTTGATGTGTCCCAGTGCCAGCTCTGCCTTCCCGTGTAGTTATGGGCAAATTATTCTACCTCTTTGATCTCATTTTCCTCATCTGAAATGAGGGAAATCATATCTATTTGATAGAATTGTTATTTGATTTAAATAAGGTAATTTATGTGGATCATTTATCAAAATTTCTGATACATAGTTTACATTTTAAAAATGGTCATTGATATGGATACTAATAGCACATAATGTGGGCCTCTAGTTCCAGTTTAATTTGGCATTAGCAATTATGAAATGTTAAATTAGGATTTGATTTATCCTCAAGCTGTTGCACTAGACCACTGGGTACTTTAGTTCATTCTTCTAGGGCAGGGATAGTGGCATTCTTGCTTACTCTCTTGCATCTTTAGCTTTTAAGACATTATAAGCTCTTAATAAATTGTGTAGCATCTGGGCAGTTTGTGCCTAACTGCTCTTTAGATAACTGGTTTTCTATGATTTTTAGATGATCTGGAATAGTAGTTCCTAACCGGGGGAGGTCACTATCCACTCCCATTTCCCTTCATTTGAAAATTCTTGCAGTATAATGAAAAATATTGTTGAAAAACTGATAACTCTTAAAGGATTCATTTCTCCCATTTATTCTGTTGATCCTCTTTTGAATTTTCCTCGAATATCCCAACTTAACGGATGAAATTATTTCTTTTTTTTTTTATGAAATTATTTCTTAAGTATTTCTTCTTCTCTGGAGTGAAGTGCTAAGTTGAGAGTCCTGCAGGTAGAGAGAAATGCCAAGGTCTTAAATATTTCGAATTCAGTGATTCTCATTCTTGACGATTTTTCATCTTCAGCATTATGAGGTGTATTATCCTTATTTTTCAGGTGAGAAGTTGGGGCCCATAGGTTAAATAACTTGTCCAAGGGTTGACCAATGGAAGGTGACAGTAAGGATTTGAACCTAGGGAGCACAGTCCTAGAGTTTGAGCTTTTAACCATTATGTAATGTTTTCCTCCAGATACCTGTCTGGTGGTAAAGGCCTGATTGCCAAAGTTGGGTAAAGGGCTGGGGAAGTGGCCGGTCCTTTCATTTAGCCTAAAGATTTTTTGCTTAAGTTTATCTCCCCTCCCTGTTTTCAGCTCTCCCTGCTTCCCCTAATTCTGCAGCTTCTATGGTGGAGTTCTATAGGAGAAGGTGCCTCTGGTCTAGTGGAGGAGGGAATTGAGGTTATTCATCTAGCATTGTGGGGGGTAGAGAAGGGAACTTGAACATCCAAGCCGTCCATAAACTTTTTTTTTTTTTAAGATTTATTTATTTATTTATTCAGAGAGAGAGAGAGAGACAGAGACACAGGCAGGGGGAGAAGTAGGCTCCATGCAGGGAGCCCGATGTGGGACTCGGTCCGGGGCCTCCAGGATCACACCCCGGGCTGCAGGCAGTGCTAAACCGCTGCGCCACTGGGGCTGCCCGCATAAACATATTTTTTTTTACACAGTTCCCTGATGTGTTCAGCCCTAGATTTGTCCCCTACTTTTTGATGTGTGTGATGCCTTCCTGAGTGACTCAAGTATCTCTTATGTTCTGTGACATCAACCCCGTTCTGTTTTGGTTTCCTTTGCTTTGTTGGTCATTTGCCATCTTTTCTCCATTTTCAATTTTCTAAAAATATGTTGAAACCTTTTCTTACTGTCTTTTTGTCCTTGTGTACTACATCCTTTTTATTCCTTTATTATAGACATTTTAATGGAGTTTCAGGAGGGGAAAGACCACATACTTGTGGTTAATCTGCATTGTTTAATTGGAAGTCTGGGAACTCAGTGCCATATTTTGTCCTCCTAGTTTCAACCAAAGTGTTTTAGCTGGATCAAATAATTTGAGTCTGGTATTGAATCTTCAGTCTGGGTATTTTGAATTCTTGATGTTTGCAGTTCCTTAAACCTTGTGCTAACTGCAAAGTTGAATAGCATGGCTTTTTAGAAATTCTTA